GCCAGGCCTTGTATACACCGGCCTCCTCTCACCTGAGGCTGGCGAGGGTGGCCCTCGCTAGGCTAGCGTAACCTTTGCCAAATTGGGCGGCCCTCGCCGAGGCGCGACAGAGGGAAAAAGAAAAAGGAAACAAGAAAAGAAAAAAAAAAGAAGAGAAAAGGAAAAAAAAATAAAAAAATTAATGAAGGAAAAGAGAAGAAAAGAAAAAAAATCAAAAAAAATATTAAAATATTATTAAAATTTATCTTCGTTAGCATCGTTTGTGTCATATATGATAGTTGGTATCCGTGTCAGTGATTTCTAGGCAAAATTGGCCGGATGAACTCAATTGACAAAATGTGAAAATGTTTAGTATTCAATTAGCACAATTAAAGGGTTTAAGACTGAATTAGCAAAAGTGCAGTAAGTTTAGGACTCAATTGACATAATTAAAAGGTTTAGTACTGAATTGGAAAAAGTGCAATAGGTTTAGAACTTTTTGGACAATTTTCCCCCATTGAGTTTGCTCATTATTCTGAATTTGTTTGGTGTGGCATTATTACTGATAAAAGGTGCTTATATTGCTCTTGGTCGACCATGGTTATATAATTAGGTAATAGTTCATTGCATGAGGATATACGTACATGTTGGGGAAATTGTCAAAAAAGTTCTAAACCTATTGTACAGTGGCCAATTTAGTCATAAACCTTTGAATGTGCCAATTTAATTCTAAACCTTTTGGCAATTTGCCAATTTAGTTTTAAATCTTTTACCAATTTATCGATGTAGTTATTCCAGCTAATTTTGATCGGAAATCATTGATATGGCAGTCCAGTTAGCGTTGGCCGTCCTACATGACGTGACCGACGTTAGCGTGGACAATAATTGCAAATTTTTTTTAATAAAAAACCTTTTGAATTTTTTATTGATTTTTTATTCTTTTCTTTTCTTTTCTTCTTTTTACACAGGGCTGGCAGCCCCTCTAGGCCTCAGCCCCTGTCAACCCTTTGTAAAACAAAGGGAAAATAAGAAAAAAATTCGTAAAGTTTTAAAAAATTACAAAAATCGTCCACTTTAGCCTCAGTCATGTCATGTAGGATGGCCGACATTGATTAAACTATCACGTTAACGATTTCCGGCCAAAATTAACCGGAAGCACTACATTGGTAATACGTTAAAAATGTTTAGAATTAAATTGGCAAATTGTCAAAAAGTTTAAGATGACATAATTGAATGGTTATTGACCGCCATATAATAAATTTAGGACTTTCTGGACAATCTTCCCCTAATATGTACCTATCCTTAAAAAGTTAGAATTCAATGAAATTGAAAATTCGGTTGTTAAAGTTTCTTTGTTGCTTGGTTTGTAAATTAGTCATGATCAATCACCTAATGAAAATTCTCCGGGTCAACTATCCTCTTGTGAATTGAGTCGCTTGACATACATTATGACAAAAATAAGTGTGCAATATTCAAAGTTGAGAAAGTTATACCTAAGGAAAAGTATACTGGAGGATTTTGTCCTTGGAATCGTTTTTCTCAGGAAATTCAAAGAAAGACAAATTCGCTTCCGAAGCTACATGAATTTTTTTAAGGGGATTTAGAAATATAAAAAAATTAATGCATAAAAGAAAGTTTAGAGAAGATATTACACAAATCTAAAAAAAATTTCAAAGGTCTCTCATGCCCTAATAACTTCATAAAGAGCTACTGATTAAAATTTTTTTTCCCTCTTGCCTAAAATAATGTGTTTGAAGCTTTTTTAGTCACCTGATTAATTTCCATTAAGAACAACAGTCCCTTACCCTTTATAGTTTATACATCGGGTAATTAATGAAGCTCACGTAGATTTGTGCTCTTGAAGGTGGTCTTAAGAGAATACACGAGGATGATGATTCGAACTCAAACCTTGAGTAAGGAAAACAAACAAATAATCACGTTCATCACTTGAATAATTCCTTGGGATGGAGCTACTCAGTCACTTTGAACAAGGGATAAGTATATTAGAAATTTTAAAACTTGTCACGAAAGTGTAATTGAGTTATAAAACTTTCAAAAAAGTGCAATTAAAACCTAAAATTGTTACAAAAGTGCAATCGAGTCCTAAAACTTTCAAAAAAATACAATCACGTCCTATAATTTGTTAGATCGATCTAATTAAATCATTTTGTTGATTACACTTTTTGAAAGTTTTAGGATTCGATTGTACTTTCGTGACAAGTTTTAATACTTGATAAAGAAAACTTCAAGCGCTAGGGCTCCGCCACTCAATTATATCTAAGAGAATTAGGACACAGAGCAATCAATGAGGAAAAACAAGACATCTTTCGGAATTCAAAAATCAAGAGCTAAGAAAAATCGGTTGTTAAAATCCAGAAACACACGCAAGACCCTTTTCCTTTTCACCAATCAATGGATTAACAAGCCTGCATACCCTCACAGGCATTGAAAGACCAGATTCGATTTGTGTTAACAAGCCACAAGCGTAACCTCACAGGCATAATCTAATTTCGGAGTGCATAACCTAATTTGGATGAACAAGCTTACAGGTATAATAACCTCGCAAGTAGAAAACAGACCGGATTCAATGCTAAAATATCCGAGATGCACAAAACGACTAGAATTAAAGGCCTGATCAGCAAACGGAACTAGGGCTCATGTTTCCACTACTCTTGAACACCAGATAGGGATGATCGATCACACAATTCCAATTGATGCGAAAAATTGATTACAATCAAAGGGAACAAGATCCAATCAACCATCCGCACAAGCACAACTAACGCATGCGAAATCTAAAAAGACAGAACCTACACAGAAAGAAATTTTGGTTATTACCTTGAGGCAAAGAGAGAAGAACCTCCAGAGGTCGAACGGAGAGCACCTAGGGTTTGAGTTTTTTTTGCAATCAGTATTTTTTGAAATTTTTAGGGCTCAATTGTACTTTCGCGATAAGTTTTACGACTTTCAATGCACTTATTCCTTTTGAACAATTATCGTTATCCACTTTACCTCCTTTTTTTTATCTGTCCTACTCTAACTCTCAACTCACTCTTAGACTTTTACCATACTTCTTTTCAGAGCATGGGAGTCGAAATTCACTTCTGAAACTAAATATCCCTACCTCAGTTCGCTGAGAAGGTGGGGAATCGAACTCTCTACTTATTCCTTCTCAAATAGAAAGAGTGGCCTTCTTGTTTAACCCTATTTGACGATGCATTTAAAGCTATTTATCCCAACATATATGGCACAAAGATAAAGAAGATTAAAGAAAACGACAATAGAATCTATGCTATTAACAAGAATTGACAACTTAGTTGCTTTAACTATTCTGCGGGACCCAGGATTTTTGTATTTTCAGCAATCGGACTCCTGACTATCTATCTGTTCACATTGGCCCTTTTGTCAAACACTTGGACGTACATGCCGACATGGCAAACTCTTTTACCTGAAAGCCATTCTTCAGTTTCAGTTTACTTTTTTGTGGAAAATATTTATAAGGGTTAAAGTACAGTTTTTGTCATCTAAAATTTAGCGTTTTTTCAATTTGATACTCTAACTTTTATTTTGTATAATTAAGTCCTCTAACTATCTGGATTGAAGCAATTTGGTCCTCTAACTTTTGTTTATGCAATTGAATCATCCAACTCTCTTGATTAGTTGGCAATTAACATCCATAGCAGCCGAAAAGTTTTTTTTCTCTTCCTCCGTCTTCTCTTTCCATCGACTTTTTCAAGCTTCAATCATGGGTTAGGGTTTGAGTTAGTCGCACCCCCCCTTCCGTTGATTTTGTTTGAATCTTTTTGTTCTTTTCTCTCGATCTAGATTTGGAAGCTCACTTTTCCTAATCTGATTCTAGATTTGAGAGTTTGAACTCTTCTGATTTAATTCTAGATCTGAGAGTTTAAAGCTTTTTTCTCCCGATTTAAATCCGGGAGTTTAACAATATTTTCAGGGATTCGATATTCCCATGCTCTATCTCCTATGAATGATCATCGTAGGAGTCTTAGCGTCTTGCCGAAATATAAAGATTTGATCTTCCAAAAGTTAGATCTATGTTTTTTTATCCCGTTTTGGTTGTCTCCATACGGCAATGGTGTAGAGGAAGCCGAACCTAGGAATGCACCTCAACTGGCAACACCGTAGTTATTGGAGAATGAATTTTCAGCATGTCCTCATCACTGATAATGATACAAGATCTAATGATCGGCCGCTGATTATTTTTCTTGACAGTTCCGTTTATATGAAACGAGTATGTGCTTAACCCTGCTAGTGCTATGTTGATCCTTCTTCTTTTGTTTTATTTGGTTTTGTTTTGTTGTATTCTAGCTTTACTCTACTTTGATTTGCTTTGCCACGAAAATCTATGTACTTTTCATGTATTCTTTTGAGCAATGAATACAATTTTTCTTTCGACAAAAAAAATACTCTCTCGATTAGTCCAATTAAATTCTTTAATTACCTAATGCAACTAATACCGTCAAATCAAGATTTCTTTTCATTTCTAGTTTTTCAGGTCCGTTTTCTGCTCGTCGGCTACCAAACTATCATCGCCTATTGCTATCTCTCACCGAATGATTTGATTGCAAGAACTAAAAAAGTCGGAGAACTCGTTGCACAAAATAAAACCTAGAGAATCGAATCGCACACATACGTACAGTTAGACAACCTGAGTGGATAAAACGAAAGTTAAACTGAAATCTGTACCTAATCCAATGTATACAATCTTCTTAGGTGATGATGTAAAACGAAATCTGAAAGGAAAAAAAAAGGAAACTTAAAACAGCTGCAAGCACAACGTTTATCCCTTTGAAGGCAGGCTTCGTAGATATCCACGCGTTGGGGTCCCCACACGCGAGCGAGAAATCTTACCTGGGACCTGGCAAGTGAAATCCCCACCTGTCGACTGTCGGCAACCTGGGTCCCACGTTCTGGTCCCAGGTTTATCAACGGTCAGCAGCTGGGTCCGGCACACCGTGCCTCTGGCCGACCTCAACGGCGAATCATCTGTGAATCTCGCAGGTCAAACTATTTCCCCTGGCGTCGGCAAGAGGAGACCGTGTTGCTCTCGCGTCGCTTCCAGTTGTTGGTCCCTCAGGGATTGCCGCAAACGACGAGTGTCTCCGCCCCCACACCCATCCCCATCTTCCCACATCTTCTTGATTTCAACGCCCCACCAAGAACCCAAAAGGAGTTCGAAACTTAAAACCCCACTGAGTCGTTCTGCAATCTTCTGCTGATCACGTGTTTAATGCCAGATTTGCCCAGACAACATCAATCCGACCCCAAAGCGAACTTTTTGGCAACAGTCCCTTTTTGGGTGTGGCCAACGGAGAAAGGAAGGGAGGTAAAGGGAAGTCTTTTCGCTTGGGAAGAGCCAAATCTGGGACAGTGAGGCCGTGCCTTGCTCGTTTTGGCGAATTTGGTTCAATGGGTTTCGTTCTTGGACTCGTGCTGGGGATCACTCTGGGGCTCGCTCTCATCATCGGGTTCGTGAAATCGGAGAATGCCCGATCCAAGCGTCGCTCCCAGCTCGTCAGTAGTTGCAGTTCTTTCCTGATCTGAGTGCCGTTGATTTCTTGCATATATCTTCTGATTTTTGAAGTGGGCTTGTACGTTACTTGGTTTTTTTTCTTTTTATTATCAGGCGACTGCGATTGCGGCTTTTTCCAGGATGACAGTGGAGGATACAAGGAAGATCTTGCCAGCTGAATTTTACCCTCCTTGGGTCGTCTTCTCTCAGAGGCAGAAGTTGAGTTTCTCCCTCTTAACTTTTCCTACATTTAGCTCCTTGATCATGCGCCCTTCGTATGGTCAGTGGTTTGCTTGAGTTAGGTTTACTGATTCGACCGTATCGTGCTTCTACAGTTGACCTGGCTCAATTCTCACCTGACCAAGATCTGGCCTTATGTTGATGAGGTAGCATTTCAAGGTCTCGCTGTTTATTCCCCTAAGATGTATATTTTCTTGGGCAACAGTTGTTTCTTATGAGGTGGTGGGGTTCTGCTGTTGTAGGCAGCATCTGAGCTGATAAAGGCTAGTGTTGAGCCCATTTTGGAACAATACACGCCTGTTATATTATCGTCCCTCAAGTTCTCCAAGTTTACTCTGGGTACCGTGGCTCCACAGTTTACAGGTGGGTTAATCCGACTTTCTCTTTAGAAATTGGCGTTGCATACTCTGTTTTAGTTGTGCCTTATTCGATCTGTGTGGCCTATTTACCTTTAATATGACATGCGATCAAGCAAGAATTTGTCTTATTTGAAATGAATGCTTCCGTCTTCCAGCAGCCAATTGCTCCTTATTTACAACTTTGGAACTTGCAATCCTATACTTTATCCGAAGGCATCATGCTTAACTTCGTCTTAGTCATCCAAAAACACCATAATCAAGAGTTACATATTTTTTTTCTTGATTCCTCAGCATCAAAATTCTTTTGGACAGTCTTAGAGTTGGACCATAATGTTACATACATTTGATTATGAGGCCTGACGATTTGATAGAGAAAGATGTCTTTTTGGGACAAGTTATGCATCCTATTCAATGCTCGAGATATGTTATTTTCACTTACATCTACATTGGCTTCTGCAATGATGGCGATATTGTTCCGCTTGTTGGTAATGCTATTCATAACAACGGACGAAAAACACTGTCTCATCCTCCCACTACTTATTCTCCAATAGGAAGGGGCTTCTTTGATGGTTTTTGTCTATAAGCAGATAAGATAAAGACCACTGGTGATGAGTGAAATGTAGACACAGAAATATATCTCAAATCTGTTGGTAAGAGTTGCGAATCACATATCTGATCATGGATGCTTACTTTCAGGAGTTTCAATTATTGAAGATGGGGGTGGTGGTGGTGTGACTATGGAGTTGGAGATGAATTGGGATGGAAATCCGAGCATTATACTGGACATAAACACTAGACTTGGAGTAGCACTACCTGTGCAGGTAATTTTCATGTGTTTGCTGGAAATTGTTTTTCAAGTGGTTCACTTTTAAATTTTTTTGCTGATCATGCATATTCGTAACATCCCCACCATCCTAAGAAATGTTAAGGCTTACCCTTTAGGTTCATTTCCTGAGAAATTTCCATTTGGCAGTGTTAGATCTTCTGCATTTAACAATTACAAGAAAATAGACAACTCATAACGAGTTGCTTCTTTACTATGACAAATGATTATACAGATGTTTCAATGTAAGATTTGGTTAATGATTTGGACTTCTTTTCTCATCACATCAAATATGACAAGATTATGCATATGACATGATTTATGAATGTCTAGAAGTTGCGAATTGTCTTTTTGGTGTCTTTTCGTTTGGGAGATTAAGATTCATGATTTGAGTGTTGTTGGAAAATGATCAAATTTTTTCTTTTGAGTAGGTAAAGAACATTGGATTTACTGGGGTTTTCAGGTTGATCTTTAAGCCGCTTGTGGATGAGTTTCCTTGCTTCGGAGCTGTCTGTTTTTCTCTCAGAGAAAAGGTGCAGCATCTTCCTTTTTATCCTTGTTTCTGCTGATGGTAGGATCATTGCAAGTTCACGGATCTTTTAAAACTTCATCCATCCATCTGCAGAGTTAGAGATTAAATTGGTTGAGATGAATTTTGCCAGACCAAGATAATCTAGTTTTCGTTATCCAGTAAGATAACCTGCTTCTTCTTTTTTTCTGGCCAAAATTATAATCTAGTCCAGTCTATAATCTAGTTCATCTGGACTTTGTGCTATTTTTGTCTTCTTTTGATGAGTGGTCGTGCATATTCTATTGAGTACTGCCTTGGATGTGTGCCAGTTAGTTACACAACTTCCTGCTACTAGTAAATCTCTCTCTCTCTCTCTCTCTCTCTCTCTCTCTCTCATATATGCAAGCACAAATTTAATTGTGCTATTCACATGTTGGACATTTTCCCATATGAAGGGTAATGTGCATGATCCCACTCATTCTAATCCTCAACTTGCAGAAGAAGCTGGATTTGACATTAAAAGTCGTGGGCGGAGACATATCTACAATTCCAGGAATCTCCTCTGCGATTGAGGTGAGTCAAATTGTCTCCTTTCTCATCTGTAAGTACCTCCTGAGCCATTGGGATTGGTAAAGTTATGATTGATGATGTTTTCCCAGGACACAATACGTGATGCTGTTGAAGATTCAATTACATGGCCTGTTAGGAAGGTTATTCCTATACTGCCAGGGGATTATAGGTATGTAAACACACAGAGAAGCACAGTTGAACATCTGATTAGACAAATTCTCTGCTGCCAGCACGTTGTGCTTATTTCACATTCATGTTGGAGAGAAATGCTGTGTGCAAGTAAAATGATGAGAAAAAATGGGTCATTTGCCACCTGTTATCATGCATGATGGACCAGATTAAGAAAGAGGTGAATATGGGAAATCCCAGTAAATGTGAAGCAAATTGAGATGTAGAAGAAATTTGCTGAACTACAAGTTTTGTTCATTGACTCATTTTTCTTCGTTAGAATGATGAACCTCATGAGGGCTTGCCAAGATATGAAGTGGATTTGGTGTAGGTAGAAGTGCGTTTAAATAGCAGGTAACAGAATAATCTCCTTATGAGAGGAATGGTTAGAATAGCAGTTGGGACATCGCTTACCAGCCATTGGTGATTGGATATGAGCCTCCTCATTCTTCTTTAGCTTTAATGAAGGATGGAAAAATGAAGAAGGTATTCTGGGATCAACATCGACATATCTAGGCCTAATGTCGGAAAGTCCTAATTATGATATCGCAGATGTGGATTGTACCATTTCTAGTGCTTCAAGTGGTATCTTCTTGTAGGGAGCTTGCACATGCGATCTAGGAGAAGATAGTGCTTGAAAGTGATTTGATTAAGAGGGATGCTGGATTACAACTTGTGTAGTATAGCTGTTATTGTAATTTTATTATCATCTTAATAGCATATTGGTTCTTTGGAAACGAGCTTGCAAATTCTCAATGTTTTGTCCTTATGCTAGGAGGGTTAATACTTTTTCTTGTTCAGTGACCTAGAGTTAAAGCCTGTTGGGATGTTGGAAGTGAAACTTGTTCAAGCAAAGGAGTTAACAAACAAGGACTTCGTTGGGAAATCAGATCCTTACGCTGTGTTGTATGTCAGGCCTCTTCGTGATAGAATGAAAAAGAGCAAAACAATTGTGAGTTCCTTAGCAGTTTCTTGGTCCCTGAACTCTTTAATTTTCAAAACTAACAATGGAAGAACTATTTTTTCAGAACAATGAGTTGAATCCAGTCTGGAATGAACACTTTGAATTTATAATTGAGGATGCATCCACTCAGCACTTGGTGGTAAAAATATATGATGACGAGGGATTTCAGGCGGCTGAGTTGATTGGGTGTGCTCAAGTAAAGCTAAATGACCTTGAACCAGGTAAAGTGAAGGATGTGTGGTTGAAGCTGGTCAAAGACTTGGAAATCCAAAGAGATAATAAATACAGGGGGGAGGTGAGAATACGGGTTTTTTGGTAAACTTTGCATAGTCCTTTCTATTTTCTGTAGTCTACTCTTCGAGCTTTATAGACCCACATCTAATTTTTGTCCCTTCTGCCTTTTCTACCCCCTGACCATAATATAAGGAGAAAATGGTATAGTGTAAATGAAGGAACTTCCTCTGTCTCTACAGAACCCAAATAGAATTGCATTTAGTTTGGCTGCCTGGCACACGTCTTGGTTTCTTCATTGTTGTCTCTCGAATCGGCCTGGCTGTTTTCTGAATTTCATAGTGCTGGAAAACTCGTATAGATGCCCATCCTCTCAAGCAATTTTCTAGATGTTGAAGAAATAGCAATTCCACTGGCTACAAAATCAATGTGACACTACTTGTGGGAAGTGCAGTCCATGTCATTATGACTAACTTTCATGTATTGCCATCATGACATTCCTCCTCTTTTCTATATCATGGGTTGAACATGTTTCTTGCAGAAATGAATTATATATCCCCTTCTGTTATGCTAAAAACTCAGGTGCATTTGGAGTTGCTGTACTGTCCCAACGGGATGGAGAGTGGTTTTACCAATCCGTTCAAGCGCGATGTTTCGATGACCTCTTTGGAGAGGGTTCTAAAAGGTGGAGCGAATGGTTTTGAAGTTACTGAAAATGGAAACGGTGTTATGCCGAAAAAGAGGGATGTTATTGTCAGAGGAGTACTTTCTATCACTGTGATATCCGCCGAAGATTTACCACCCACAGATCTGATGGGCAAAGCGGATCCGTATATCGTAGTGAGCATGAAAAAGTCCGGAATGAGAAATAAAACCAGGGTCAGACTTTCCTCATGCTTGCCTTTAATTGTATAAAATTCCTGTTTGTTTTTAACCTTCAATAAATACCTTTGGCTTGTCGCTTAAAAAAGTCATTTACTATTCTACTTGTATATGGAATCCCTTATTCTTTTGATGAATTGATAAGATCTGGTTCTGTGAAGAATTTATGCTTTAATCTTCATGTTCTGCCGTGTAAATACAAATAAACAGTATGACCTTCATCAAGTTAGAAAATCCAGGCCGATAGGGTAATTTCGGACATAAGATATTTTTCTTGTTTTTCTTTCTATTATTTTCAAGCTTTTAACGAGGACTCTTGCTTTTCAGGTTGTGAATGACAGTTTAAACCCTGTTTGGAATCAGACATTTGACTTTGTTGTAGAAGATGGCTTACATGATATGCTGATTATAGAAATCTGGGATCACGACACATTTGGGAAGGTAACACTGCTCTCTTTTATTGTTTTCTTTTTTATTATAAGGATCAAATTAGGGCAATTTTTTTATTTCGGAGCAACAACCAGAAAAGGAGAATTACCTGTTTAAGGACCAGCTTTCACGTGCGCTTTATTTGGTCAAAGCTTTGGATTTGCTAGCTCTTTGTCTTGTCATTTATCTAAATTTCCAGATTATATTTGACCAGGAGGAAGTACTTCACATAGATTTGATAGCGGAGGATTCTAGTTTTCAGCTTCGTATTTTCAAATTATGTTTAAAAATGGGCCATAGGGTAGATGGAGGCAATTGGAGATCTACGAATTGATACATATATATCTTCATTTGCTTCACTGTTAAACCAAACGTGATTTCTCAGTTTGTTTCATTGTTGGTGCCCCTTATCCCAAATCTGCACAGGTAATTGACGCCTTCCATTATAAGTTACTTCAAGAAGATGGGTATCCGTTCCCTTTGTCAACTTATACACGGCAAAACAATCTGCATGTGTGAAACTGTGAATTCCAAAACATTGCTGTAATAATTGGCAGATATCTTATGGCGTTTCTATTCTCCCTGCCTTGAAGAGTCTCAAAGCATTCTACCATGAAGGGAACCGAGTCATGTTTTCTGGTTTTTACGTGCTTTGGTTGGTAGATTCTTGCACGTATATGGATATTCTATATTTTGTGGACTATGTAGGTTCTATCGTTGAAAATTGATTCATATCTGGTTGTTTTCATGTTGCATTGTTCTGCTTGGGAGGTGATGTCAATTCGCTGACTGGCTGGTTCTGAGACTATGATATGCATTGTAGTTTTGATGGTGTTTGTCACTACCTAGTAGCTTTGTCAGAACAATTTCCGGTCTTAGTTCGTTGAGCGCACGGTTCGAGGCATTCACTGTTTCGTCTTCTTATCGATCTTGTAGGACTACATGGGAAGATGCATATTGACACTGACTCGAGTCATATTGGAAGGGGAATACAAAGACAGCTTCCCCCTGGACGGAGCCAAATCTGGAAAACTGAATTTGCACCTTAAGTGGATGGCACAGCCGATTTACCGGGACTCATGATAAATTTCTCCGTCCTGCCCAAGGGATCGAAAATTTTTGGCCTGTGAAGACTGGGACGATGAGCTTCCCAGATACGTTAAAGAAGAAAATAGCGGCAATCATTTAGTGGTAAGCTGATCAATAAAGGGTGTGGTTGGGGGGGCTGATGGAGCTAATGAACGGTATACTGGTGTAAATAATCTCTTTAGAAAGGACTGGTATGTTGTAGATTGCTGGGGTTTCATCGGAAATACATAGACAGTTCGGAGAAAAATAATGAGATTTTGAGACCCCATACCACGCCCGACCGTCTTTCATTTTTTTTTTTAATCTCCATTATAAGTTTGACATCGTATTGCTGTTTTATTCTGGTAACTATGCATGCCCTTTTGGGTCATTACTTTTGCCACACCTTTCATTGCAAGTTAGGAGATCCAAATCGTATACCAAAAGGTAAGAAGCTTGTGAGCCTGTGATACCATTTTCTTTCCCCTTTCCCACCAAACACTCGTGTACACACTTTTTCATTCTACTTTGAAAGTGTGTTGGATTGTGGTTCACAGGCTATGGACAATAGTCTCTTCATCATGCTGTTTTCGTCTTTCTAATGCAATTAGTATCCCGAAATTTCCCTCGTCTTGCTGTGCTGTCTCTTCCAAGAGAGCAGGGGAATAAGAGACGGGAATAATGAAACGCGACGCACCTAGCGTCTGCTGATTATTTTCGACATAAAACATTTGCTCGCTTCGGTATTTGATTGTGTCTGCGAAGTCGGTATAGACTAGCATCACAGAGAGTTCAGAAGCAGCTCTACCGGAACTCCTCGGCTCTGCAAGTAAATTCCGTATCCCCTCTCGTTAGGTAATAGTTGGCGGCCCCCTAAAGTAAAGTAGGAGGATTTATAACCCAACAAATTCCTTTCTCTTAGCAGTAGCTACCCAATTAGTACATCTCTACAGGTTATGATGTGCAAACAGATGCGCACTAATAGATGGCGCATCTTTTCGAATCTTGTACTCACGTGTCGTACATCTAGGACATCGGTATCTTTATATCGTATTACGTCACCATATGTCACATTATCGTCCATATTCATAGAGGTTGACATGGACAAGAATTGCATCTAATTCAAATTATGGGGTGTCATCTCATTCTTAGGGAAACTGTTGGTTTTTCTACGAAACATGCATAGTTAAAAATATAAACGCAACGGAAAGATATAACCACATATGTATCTCCAAAGGCGTTGTTCGTGCGTTTCAATAAAAAATCGAAAGATCATAGGGGGTTAAACGGATTACCTCTCGTAGCGTGCCCAAAACGATTTCGGTTAGGATGTTCTTTAGATCGAGCCCCACAACCGTCGGACCTCTAGTTCAGACACACCACCAATCGCACGATGAACGGAAGGAAGAACTTGTGGAGAATCACCAATAGAATTGTGCTAGCAATCTTGTGGCGATAATTCTTCGCACTCTCGATATTTCAGTCACGGCGTCGAAAGAGAGGAAACGTATTTTTCTTAACTCTCACGAACACATGACAATTGCATATGCATTTTTTTTTTCATTGTCTTGCAACTGTTGCTGATCGCGCCATTAATATGTGCGATTAGCAACAGTTGCTGATCGCGCCATTAATATGTGCGATCAGCAACAGTTGCTGATCGTGTGTGTCATGCACACGGTCAGCAACCGTTTGCTGACCGTGTGCCATGCACATTGCACACGATCAGCAACGGTTGCTGATCGTGTGTGTCATGCACACGGTCAGCAACCGTTTGTTGACCGTGTGCCATGCACATGGTCAGCACTTGCTGGCCATGTGCATGCGACAATTTATATATATATATAAATATAAACGTGTATATACAAATATAGAAGTGCATGATCAGCATATGTGTATTTTGTGAGCATCATATGCACACACGCCCATGACAAAAATTGAATTCAATTAAATCCCATTTAATTTAATTTCAGTCCAACTTAATTCGATTGCAAACATATTTGCAATATCGTCTCTTCCGTACAACGTCATCCAAAATTAGTTATGGTGTGTGACATCCATATGTTCATCACTGATCTAGTAGTAGGACTTGCACTAACACGTTAGTACTCCCAAGAGAATTGATTGTCCCGATCAACCTCTAGGTCCTACAAGCCATGATTGACATCTAGCAATATGTCATGGCTACCTAGACAGTGTGAATGTTTTAAGAACATAATGAACCTGTCAGCTTTGGTTACAGTATAATTCAATCCCTCTGCCTTACTATGTCCCGATCGAACAAAGACCATGGAATATTTGTCAAGTCACCAATTCGATCATATGCACAAATCTAATTGACATGCATTTTATACGAGACACGAACAGTTCATTCTCGGTTACAACCCCGGCCGAGGATTTTAATGCAATGTCAAGATTAGATTGCATAGGACATCATTATTGTACCTTGCGTACAACAAGGAGACAGATTCCATTTTGCGCACACGTGTAACTTCGTATGTGAACGAACTATGGCCATCAAGTACAGAGACGGATCAACGAACCAGCAATATGTGCACCTATGAACCATAGCCATTCAACACACAAGTCAACACTATGCCTCAGGTCTAAGGATTATTTACACAAGACCAGAGCATGAACGATTAGGCATTGATCACGCTAAAAGCTTCCATGTTGCTAATCGATATATGCGTGTCACGTTCAGTGAACTTGTCTGGTACAAGCACCTGTGTTCTAACTCGAGCATCACAATACCCAATGACTCGTGACTCGTCATTCTCTTAAATATCCAATACTTAACAGTGGAGCTAAGAACACACCGGTCTCAACAGGATTATTGATATCCACTCAATGATCCATCGACCGGGAACAATTTAAAGATTCAGTCTAACTGTGAACCTGTCACACATATTCTTAACGTCTCAAGAATAGGTCCAGTCACAACTGATCTTATGGAATCATTCATATATTTAAATAATTGGACAAATGAATGAATACGTCATTGTCATTAAATAAATAATGAAATTGAAAATACAACTTAAATCCCTAATATGTAACTATTACATGATGACTTTAGGGCATACATCTAACAGAAACATCATTAGAATCCTCTCACGATTCTCGATTGACATACAAGCTACATGAAGAACATAAAATGAGTGTTAGAAGAACCCTTGGATCAAGTGAATTTTACGTGAAATCAATCGGATCGGCTTAAGAATCCAACTATGGTAGCCTCACACCAACTGTGTTCATGTAAAAGAGCATATTCAGGGTATATGCATTCCACAACAGACACAAATAGCACTTGGACAATTACATAATCATCTAAAGTATATGGGGATTAGATACTACAGTTAATTTTTTTTTAACACAAGCCTCTCTGCCCCTCTCTCTCTCTCACATGATCATCTCATCATCACTTGGTTCGGGGGAGGGATGTTTCCCTCTCCTTGTTGCCTCTGCTCGTGTAGAATGCCTGCGATCACGCCTTGGTAACCTGCTCAAACACCAAACACACGCACACAATTAGTCATCGTTTGATCCTTTCTACGACCAAGATATTTTTTTTTCCTTACGGAGAAAAATGTTTGAGTTTTGGTACTAACCTAGAAAAGGGTCTAGGCCGCGGTATTTAAGCTCCCGGAACTCTTGGCAAAGTGAGCAAAGCGGGCACAGGATGTGAGCGAGCCGGTCGGTGACCAGCGTTTCTGATATCTGAAACACATTCCGAAGCCGTTTTCTGTACCGGACTCCAATGTATCAATGGCATATCACCAGGAACAAGAAGTACAGAAATGCACCCGTCAAGCAACATGTGTATACGTGCACACTGTGAAGGTCCTAAATGAGAACAATAAAATTTTTCTATGGCCCTACCTATCAGAAAAAAAAGAATAGTTTGGCATGAACTTAAGAGAGCATCATGAACTCATTGAGGGCCATGATGCATTGAACAAGAAAATGCTCTTAAGTCATAATATATGTAGCTATGAAATGACACAAAAGAAGGAAACTTTGTGGGCGTCATTGCATGATTTAAGTAGCGGATGGTGAAGCTTTTGGGCGACTTTGTGTGGAGGCACCTTTGCCATCCAAATATATATAGTTGGGACGATAAGCTTCCCAGATACGCCAATGAAGAAAACAGCGGCAATCATTTAGTGGTAAGCTGATCAATACGGAGCTAATGAATGGTATACTGGTGTACATATTCTCTTTAGAAAGGACTGGTATGTTGTAGTTTGCTGGGGTTTTGTCGGAAATACATAGACCATCTTCCATTTTTCATCCCTATCTTAAGTTGACATCATAATGTTGTTTTGTTCTGGTAACTATACCTTCCTTTGTGTCATTTTTTCTTTGCACACCCTTCATTTCAAGTTAGGAGATCCAGATTTTATACCAAAAGGTAAGAGGGTTGGGAGCCTGTGACACATTTTCTTTCCCCTTCCCACCAAAAACCCTGGGTACTTCAGTTTCATTCAACTTTGAGAGTTTGCTGGATTGTGTGGTTCACAGGCTATGGACATAGTCTCTTCTTCATTCTGTTTTCGTCCTCCCGATGCAATTAGTATCCGCGAATTTTCCCCCCTGCTTGCTCCGTCGTCTCTTCCGAAAGAGCAGGGGAAAAACGGAACCGGACGCACTGAGCACCTCCCAATTTCACCCAGCAAATTCCCTTGTCTTAGCAGTAGTTATGACGTGCAAACAGAGGCGCAGTAATTGATGGCGCATCTCTTCGAATCTTGCATTCACGTGTCGTATATCTGCGACACGATATCTTTACGTCGTATTGCGTCGGCACATGTCACCTCGTCGTCCATGTTCGTAGAGGTTTGAAACGGACAAGAATTAGATCCGACTCAAATCACGGGGCGTCATCTCATCTCCTAAGGGAACATCTTCGGAATCCTCTCATGACTCTCAATGGACATATACAAGGTATAAAGTAAAAGACAATTTCAATGCATGAGGAGCATAAATAATAGACGTTAGAAAGAACCTTCGGATCAAGTGAAAATTTCACGTGAAACCACCCGATCAATCTAAAGATCCAACTAACGATAGCCTCACACCATGCCATGTTCATATAAAAGAACGTATTCAAGGTATATGCATTCCATAAACAGACACGAACATCACTTGGACAATTAGAAAAAAATTGGTCAGATGGGGATTCTGTAATCATTCGACAACAATGGAGACCCGCTTCATGTCGCGCTCTACCACGAGAGGAACATACAACAGCTATTTTCTTTTGTTAAATTTGAAGTAGCGACGGGTCAAGAAGAAGCCCGACACAAGCCTCTCTCTCTCTCTCTCTCTCTCTCTCAAGGATCATCTCATCATCACTTGGTTCGGGGGAGGGATGTTTCCCTCTCCTTGTTGCCTCTGCTCGTGCAGAATGTCTGCGATCACGCCTTGGTAACCTGCTCAAACACCAAACACACGCACACAATTAGTCATCGTTTGATCCTTTCTACGATCAAGAAGTTTTTTCTTTTTTTCCTTGTGGAGAAAAATGATGAGTTTTGGCACTAACCTAGAAAAGGGTCTAGGCCGCGGTATTTAAGCTCCCGGAACTCCTGGCAAAGTGAGCAAAGTGGGCACAGAGTGTGGGCGATTCGGTCGGTGACCGGCGTGTCTGCTATCTGAAATGCGTCCCGAATCCTCTTCCTGTACCGGACTCCGACGTTCCAATGGCATAACACCAGGAACAAGAAGAAGTACAGAAATGCGCCCGTCAAGCAACCTGTGTATATGCACACGTTGTCAAGGTCATGAATGCGAACACCAAATTTTTTATATGGCCCCACCTATCACGAGAAGAAAAGAATAGCATGACATGAACTTTAAGAGAACATCATCAACTCATTGAAGGATATGATGCGATGATCAAGAAATTAACCTTATACGTAGCTGTGAAATGACATAAAGGAAAGAAACTTTGTTGGTGCATTGCATGATTTAAGTAGTGGAGAGACGGGAGAAGATACTGATGTACTCGGATTACGTATTAGACAAAAAAAAAATTAAACTGTTTCGAAATGTGGGAACAATATGTATAGAAGCATTAATACCACAAAAAATCTCAAATCAGTACACCGATGCTACATTTAACCCAAACTAATTTTCATGTCACAAAAAATCTCAAATTGATACACTCTTGTCACATTTATCTCAAACTAATTTTCGCATTACAAAAAAACCTAAACAAGTATATCCGTGCCACATTTATCCCAAATCAATTTCCAGATTTGTCATGAGTGTACCGATTTAAGGTAAATATTATACCAGTTTGAGATTTTTTGTGACACAAATTATTTGGGCTAAATATGACATGATATACCAGTTGCAATATATCTTAACATCTGTAATGACTTAAATAAAAAGCTATTGATGTTAGTGACAATCAATTACCATTGAACAAGTTTGAAGTATCTAAATATATCGAACCACGCATTTACCAGACACTTTGAATTTTTATAATAGTAGGTATTGAAAACCACAAAATTTCACGAATGGCTGAATAATTTCTTAATATATATTATTACAATATGTATTACATACATCATAGGTCCATCTAAATATACAACATAGGAAGAGAAACAACTTACTGGTGCTGCCGTTGTCCAATATCTCAGCAATTTGGCCGAATGTCACACATGGTGCTACTGTTGTCATTATTGCTGCAAAAGTACATGTATTCGTTTTTATGTTATTAGGCACATAATCGGAGAGTGAGAAAATATATTAAATGCTTTTGTAAGTGAATTATCGTGCAAAAATAATGTGGAAATACTTTACTAATCTAAATGCAATATGCACATAACTTTCCTAGGTGACTGTGGACAAATATTGGCATTGCTTTTTCTTTGTATTTGATCCACCTTTGCATTTTCCTGTATTTATTTGTCCGACATTGTTGTCTGACGCAAGTATAAAGTCTATGAACGAAATAGCCATTTAATTAATTTAATTAAAGTATAGTCAATTCATTTCTAGGATTTCCCTTTCCCTAGTTCTCCTATAAACTTTAAATGGATAAATGAAATTGTACACTCGGTGAGCATCACACATTATAAATCCAAGTGATCTATCTAATTGGACAATCAACGAGAGTTCTTCTTGAACAACACTATTTGAAAGAAGAGTGTCAATCTTAACTTTATCATAATTTCCGCTAAGTGAGAATGTCATCCAAAAAGTAAGAAGAGAGAATTTACCATTAGTGGGGTGTTGACAGCAATCAAAGATCCCACTCTTCCATGGAACCCCAACGAACGGAACCAGAATCACCGTCGGTCCTTCCGGCTGAAGCCTACTCGACCTAGCCACCAGAGCCAGCGGTGCAGCTGCTGCCGGCACATTATCGTTGTTATTGACTTCTGGGGCCGGCCGGAATGCCGCCTTATTATCCGCCTCGTGCGGCGGAAACATGACCCCCGGCCATGACGCCGCCTCGTGGCTATTAACTTGGGCCCCGGGCGCTCCATGTGGCCTGGTAGCTGCCGGACCAAGCCCAAACCCAGGCCCGTGTTGGCCCGTTTCTTGTTTGTTGCTAAAATTTTCAGGAGGCACGTAAGGCACAATCTCGTTGCCCGGGGCGGTTGCCACTGCCACCAGGGGCGCCGGAGGGAAAAACACCGCTTGCATGGACTCTATGTCGTCCGGGTGGTGCAGCGTCATTGGCGGCAGCGGCATTGATGGCTCCGGCTTGGCCTGGGAAGGGAGAGGAGGAGGAGGAGGAATAGTGGGTTTTGGTGATGGTAGTGGAGAAGTGGAGGTTTTCTCGTCATCGTTGCTGTTGGCGTCGCGATTTTGCGGCTGGTGGGTGGGGAGAGAATCCGGCAGCGGGGGATCGTTAGTTGCATTGGCGGGCGGTGGAGAAGAGGGATCGGCGTCCCATGAGGGCGCAGGTTCGAGTTTGGCGTTGGATGAGGTTGGTTGCAGCTTTCCCATAATGTATCGCCCTACTCACAAGAAGGAACTAGTGATTTTGCATGCACCGTTGGTGAGTAACGTTCTTGTTCGTGCTGATGTATATATTTGCGTTTCGGCAAACTCATCGATGTCCCAATTTACCAGTTAGCTAGTCTGTATTATAAAAATTTTCGTATGAAGTAGGACCCATCCAATGTTCTAGGTAACCTAGATCGATAATTACAGTGCGCTTTTTAATATTTTATTTTCCCAAAAAAAAATTGTAGTTAATCAAATTTAACTCTATCACAGGAAAGGAGACGGTGGAACTTGAGAAGAAAGATGAAAAAGAATGAAAATGGTGGAATCATGCCAGCACGAGAGCATCGATTGCAATGCATTGCATCGTGTGGAGATGTTCACAAAGAGGTACAATCACCAGAAACTTATATAATATGATTTCATGTGATGGTTTGTACCAGCTGAGGCGGTCAAGCCAAAGACGGTATCGAAAGTGTGTATCAAATGCTTGTTCGAACTTCTCAATGAAATGTATAATCATCTCATTCCAAGCCAAAGACTGTTTCTATGTTTTCAATGATCAAACCTCGGCCAAAAAAACATGTAGAACGTCTCAAAGTTGATGGAATTAACGGAGGGATTTAATTGCATCAGTTATACAAGTTTTAGGAATTGATTGCATTTTTTAAAAATTTTACTACTCAATTGTACTTGACAAATTTTATTAACTTTCGGTATACTTATCCCCATGAATATGCAGGTCATTGTAATGACAAAATATTTCTAAAAATTCTTTCATATGTTTGTAATCTTATTTATCCAGTCAATATTTCTAATCCTTGTGCAAGGAGGGTTTTGAAGGAGGAGGATTAATGTTAGGGGCACGGAGCAGAAATATGATACCTTCACTTGAGGAGATCACCAAGAGGAAGCTCAAGTCTTAGCCCGTCAACATATTCATTTAGACCCACTTTCACTCAAAAGCTTAAGTCCGTGTGCTATCGGCCAACTTGGATATATTAACTACTTTACACCATACCACTTATCTAATGTGGGACTTTCTTAACACAACTCACACGTGCACGCTTCAACAATTTCCTCCTCACATGTGAGCTAGGTGTTAGGTCTGTATCCCCTTAATTCAGATATCATTTTGTATTAACATATCTCAACTTGAATTTCCAAGTCATTTCAATGCACCCACAATTATGCTCAACAACTATCATCAACTACTAACTTGGGATTGCATCACCCATGGTCTCTATCTTGAGCCACCAGACCAACTATCCATGGTCACTTCTTGCCAGACCAACCGAGATGACAATTTCCACCCGAAACAAGCGTGGATCATAAGATTTCTTTGTTGAGATATTTACTAAACACCGGAATAGATTGAAAGCCCACCAATCTCACCATCGACTCTGATACCATTTGTTGGGAGCAAGCAGCCGAAATCTAATACCTTCACCTGACGAGATCACCAAGAGGGAGCTCAAGTTTCACTCAAAAGCTTAAGTCTGTGAGTTATGGGCCAACTTGGATATGTTAACTACTCCACACCACTCCACTTATCCAATATGGAACTTTACTAACACAACTCACAAGTGCACATTTCAACAATTAGTCACCCAACAAGTTTTTCTCTCTTAGCAGTAGCCACCCAATTAGCATATCAGTCTACATGTGATGTGAAAACAAAATTAACAATTAACTGATGGTGCATCCCTTGAAATCTTGCACTCACAGTATCATACATATTTTTTTGGTCGGAACAGTATCGCACATTATGACGTGATATCTTTACACCGTGTTAAGTCAGCGTATGTCATGTTGTCGTCCATTTTCATAGAGGTCGAAATGAACAAGAATTACATCTAATTCAAATGATGCGGTGCCATCTAATCTCGTAGGGAAACATCTTCAGAAACTCCTCACGACTCTCAATTGACATATTGAAGTTATAGATGTTAGAAGAACCCTCCCATCAAGTGAATTTTACGTGAAAGTCAACAAGATCGATCTAAAGATCCAACTTGTCACTCGGGACAATTATGTAAAGTCAATCATCTAAGATAGAGACGGGTCGAGAAGAAGCTCAACACAATCCTCTCTTTCTTTCTCACACACAGATCATCTCATCATCGCTTGGCTCGTAGGAGGGATGATTGCCGCTCCTTGTTGCCTCTGCTCGTGTAGAATACCTGCGATCACGCCTTGGTAACCTGCTCAAACACCACACAGGCACACAAACACAATTAGTCGTCCTTTGATCCTTTTTACGACCAAGAACCCAGTTTTTTCTTAGTTCATGTAGACGGAGAACTTCTCTTTTTTTGTTTGTTTTCGGACGAAATATGGGGAAGATGATGAGTTCTGATACTAACCTTGAAAAGGGTCTAGGCCACGGTATTTGAGCTCCCGGAACTCCTGGCAGAGTGAGCAAAGTGGGCACAGAACGTGGGCGAGTTGGTCGGTGACTGGCGTCTCTGCTATCTGAAACGCGTTCCGGAGCCTCCTTCTATACCGGACTCCGATGTTCCAATGGCATATCACCAGGAACAGGAAGAAGTACAGAAGTGCACCCGTCAAGCAACCTATGTATATATCCACACATAGTAAAGTTCGTTAATGCGAACACCAAATTTCTATATGGCCCCACCTATCACGAGACAAAAGGAAAAGTAGGGCATGAACTTGAGGGAGCATCATCAACTCATTGAAGACCAAGATGCATCGGTTAAGGATATATTGTAAGCCATTGTATACGTAGCTATGAAACGACACAAAACAAAACAAACTTCGGTGGATGCCATTGCATGATTGAAGTAGTGGCGAGACGGCTGAAGATACTGATGATCTCTAATAACATGTTAGACAAAGCAATCTTACCAAAAATCTAAGCTGTTTGGTAACGCATCAACAATATATTTATGGCATATTTCTTAACATCCAAAAACACACAATTAAAAAGCCACTGTCACGGCGTTTCCCACATTTCACCTATGTATGTACTATTTTCCTTTGATGTTACTAACAACCACTTACCACAGAACAAGCTCAAGTTCTAATGTATACCGCACCATGCATTCAGCTGACAGTTTGACAATTGTAGGTAGTGAAAAACATGAATCTTACTAATACCATATTGTTTCTTAATATACATATGCACACATCATAGTTGCATCCAAATATACGGCATAGAAAAAGCAACAACTTACTGGTGCTTCCATTATCCAATATCTCAGCAATCTGGCCGAATGTTACGCATGGTGCTACTGTTGTTATTATTGCTGCAAGAAATACATGTAATATTTTTTTGTGTGTTATTAGACACAAAATAGGAGTGTGGAAAAATATTTTATGTGCTTTCGTATGTAGATTATTGTGTGAAAAATAATGTCCAAATACTTTACGAATCTAAATGCAATATGCACATAAACTTTCCCAGGTCAGAGTGTGGACAAAGATTTACCATTACTTTTTCTTTGTATGGGATCCACCTTTGCACATTTTCTTGCCTCTGGTAGTCCCTCTTATACATAGAATGAAAAGTGAAGTCTTCTTGAGGGCACAAAGAAGTAAGTATAGTGTCTATTAACGAAATGATCATTTAGTTAATTAAATTAAACTATAGTCACTTTATCACTAGGATTTCTCTTTTCTAAGTGATCTATCTAATTGGACGATCAACGAGAATGCTTCTTGAACTACACCAGTCAAAAGAAGAATGTTCGTTTTGACTTTATAATAATTTCCCGCTAAGTGAAATTATTCACCAAAACATCAAAAAAGAATTTACCATTGGTGGGATGTTGATAGCAATCAAAGAGCCCACTCCTCCACGGAACCCCAACGAACGGAACCAGAATCACCTGCGGCCCTTCTGGCTGCAGCCTACTCGACCCACCCACTGGACCCACCGATGCTGCCGCCGCCGGTGCAAAATTGTTGTCATGCACCGGAACCGATCCGTTGTTTGCTGATGGTAGCGGCACCTGATGATCCACCTTCTGCGGCGGAAACATGACCGCCGGCCGTGCGGCGGCCGTGTGGCTATTGACATGGGCTCCCGGCGCTCCATATGGCCCGGTAGCTGCATTATTAGGCCCAAAGTTTCGGCCCGTTTCTTGTTTGTTGCTATTATTTTGAAGAGGCACGTAAGGCACAATCTGGTTGTCCGAGACGGTTGCAGCCACCAACGGGGGTGCTGGTGGGAAAACCACCGCTTGCATGGACTCTATGTTGTCGGGGTGGCACAGAGGCGGCGCTGATGGCTCTAGGTCGACCTGGGAAGTGAGAGAAAGTGGAGGAATTGTGGGTTTTGGCGATGGTAGTGGTGAAGTTGAGGTTTTCTCGTGGTCATCGCTGTTGGTGTTGCGAGTTTGCGGCGGGTCGGTGGTGAGAGAGTCCGGTGGCGGGGGGTCAGTAGTTGCAGAGGCGGGCGGCGGAGAAGTAGGGTCGGCGTCCCATAAGGGTGAGGGTTCGAGGTTGGTGTTGGATGCGGTTGGTTGCAGCTTTCCCATAATGTATCGCCTGTTCTTGCTTTTCACAAGAGAGGACTAATGATTTTGCATGCAACGTGGGTGAGTAATGTTCTTGCTTGTGCTGGTGTTTATATATGCAAATGTTCACAAAGAGGTGGAATCACCAGAGATTTATATATTATGATTTCATGCAGTGGTCTGTACCACGCGAGGCCGTCAAGCCAAAGACAATATCAAACGTCTGCATCAAATTCTTGTTTGAACTTCTCAAGGTGATGTATGATAATCTTATTCCAAAGCCAGGTTAAAGCTTGACTACAAGGTCTAATGAAGACAACATCAATTATCGTCGGAAACAACCTGAGAATCGATGGGCATTAGACTGTTTTTATGTTTTCAATGATCAAACCCCAGCCAAATTAAAAAAAAGCAGATCAAATTCTCTTATTTTATAGAGCACTTTGATTAGGTTTGCAGATGTTCTTATTCTTTTTCTGTCCCTTTAATTTGTCATTGATGTTTGTGTTGTTATCGGGTGACAATTTCCTAGTAATTAGAAGCATTTGTCATCATTGCTTGATTAGGTGTGAATGGTTGTGCGGATTTCACACGGAGGATGGTGAAGCTTTTGCTCAAATTTGTGTGGAGGCACCTTTGCCATCTCTTTCTAAGCCAACAATGTGTAATAGTCGAGGAGACATATTTGCGTGGTCCCGGTGAAGCGAGACCGACCGCACGGCGACCACCCTTAGATCCGGTGAGGACCACTCGAGCAGGAGAAATAAACCTCTAAAGAATACCAATTCATTTATAGTTTTCTTTAGCTAACAAGCAGAGATCTAGTATTCCAAGAAGTCCTTGTTATGCCCTCATTGCATTGCTTTTCAAACAAGTATCTAGTTTGGTTATGTTTCCATCATTTATAGATGGCCTCATGGAAAACATGGTAAACCAGACTATCATTAAGAGAATTTAGCTGCTAGATACAACCTAATTTACTATTAGCCGAAAACAAACTTTAAAGTATAAGAAAGATTGGATTACTTATTGATGTAACAACGATCACTACTATCGGTCAATGAGAAACATGAGTAGTTAAGTAGGGCTAGACCTATCTAACTTTGTGTATACCCTCGACGTAGTTATTAACAAATCATTTTCCTTTGGCAACAGTCCACGTCCAAAACACCCGAATCTCTCTCTATTTTCCAATCTTATTTTGTTTCATCCACCACAGGGCTTCGCTTGCAAGCAAACGATGGCGGGCGACCGCGAGCTCCTTCAGCATCGAGCAATGGCGATGAAAAACCAAAGCTGCTGTAACTCAAATCTCTTGAGCAGCCCATGCCACTCAGACCGATGCCACGGGCGATGGCGTGCTGCTTGGGTGGGGAGAGAGCAAAGGGTCGTCATTTCAATGCGTTCAACACCAATTGAAATTCGCACATGGCTCAAATTTAGTGGAAGGTCTAACTAAAATTGAGTAAGCTTAGACCTACACAACTTTTTGCCACTGATAAAGTGAGATTCGATTCTAGATCCAACCTTACGAGCTTCACATGCCAACAAATCGACAATAACTGTCACGGAAGGCCATTTCGTATTGCCAATGGAAACTTTTTCCATGAATAATTAAAATCATGTTAGTTGCAAGTAAATGTAATTTTTTTTTAATGTATTCGAAAAGATAAATCAAGACTTAGTAATATCAATGCAATTCCAAATTACCCAGCTTCTTGGGTTTAAGCTTTTCTCTTTATTTGTTTTTCTTTTGGGAAAAAACCCATGTTTTATTTTTCATATGTTTAAATCCTTGTCTATGTTTGGATATACTTTTTTTTTGGTCGAATGAGACAAGAAGAAGAGACAAGGAAGATACGAAGGGAGGAAATGATACGAGTTTGAGACAAGAAGAAGAGACAAACAACTTAAATCTGAAGAACTTATTCGCGCAGTGTCTTGTTTGCAGTTTTAAAACTGAGGCTCACCTTGACACATCATGGTGTCTTCTTCATAGCTGTCTCTGTTCGTTTTATAATTGTGTTGAAACCATCGAAACTTTGTCCAAATTAAAGAAAATGTAAGTCACATATCGGTTGAATGTGACTGAAAGTAACAAGAAAAGAAAAATCATAGAAAATGAATGTCTGTTGTACGTTGATGTTCTGTCACACACGATGGATGCTGCAAGGGAAGATAATAGGAAGAACGACGACTGTGATAAGTCTATAGTCTCTACTCATCCAATGGATGAAGAAAAGGCCCCAAAAGGGGTAAAAGAAGAGTCCTAGCCAGGGGAGATTGTGAAGTATTGATCATGGGATTAAAGCCACAAAACATTTAAGGAACGTCGTCCAGAAATTGGAATCACGCCGCATTGACATTGATACATTGATTGACGTGAATCGGCCACCGTAGTTGTAATCTAAATGCAAACAGTCTTTCATTCACGATGCGTTCATTGCTTTGATGTTATCGCGATAGTAAAATCACACCAACTTGATATTGAGAGAGCTTTTCATTCCAGAAAATATATAGTAGCATCGCTATTTTGCCATTCATCTACAGATCAAGCAATGCCATGTTGTCAGTCTATTCCCCAGACGAAACACACACTCTACCTACACTGTCCATGTATCCACAAAACACCAACTTGTTTGTCACCATTTGGGGTCTTCACTATCTGTTTTTTGATTGCTATACTTACTAATGCTTAACTCTCTTTGCTAAACATATTCGCCATACACGGCGGTAACAAGTCCTTCCGCAGAACAATATTACACTATAAATGAACCCTTTGAATGACCTTAGACGATGCGCGAATGTTAATCCAGCCTCCCAACTTCAGATCGCCTACACTGTTGACATGCCAGACTAAAATTTCACTATGATTCTCTCTTAGCCACGGCAATGCACTGGAATTTATGATACCATCACCTGCGAAAAAAAAAATTGACATAGCAAAATCAATGTCACCTTAGAGTAATTTGACATGTAGGTATCCAGCATCGAGAAACCAGTGGGCGGATTATAATTCTACCTCATCAGTATCGGAAGGAATGATCATGGACCCAAAGCTCAGCACCAACTTGATCCAGCGAGCTTTTGCTTCCTCTGGTGATTGCGGTCAAAATTCATCTCGACCGTTGAATTCCGAAAGGGATGTGTCTTTTCAAATTTTAGGTCGCTCCGTCCGATCATGTACCTATTTCCTGCTTCTGGCATGGTGAAATCAGCCGGATTTTTGTTAACTGTACATACTTGAACCTCAGAGTCCTTCTGTGAAGGATGCAGGGTTCCATATCCATCTTGCCTCGCCAAATTGTCTTTCCCTGGACTTTCTGCATTCAAGTGCAGAGGGAAGGCCACGTTATTTGGAGTATCCAGGAAGTTTCTAAGCCCGTCAAGGGTTGGACTCGATCCATGATTTGCGACCAAATTACCACCGGGGAATATGCATTTTTGTGATCTGTAATTGTATGCTTCATTTGATATGGCTACTTCAGAGCACTTTTTCTTCCCTTTCTTGTGCATCTTTAATGATTCCTGAGCTGCAACCTCAGCGGCCCTCATGAATCTTCTATCAGGCTGAGATAAAGGAGCGGGCTCATCAACGGTTGGAACCGCAGAAACATGCTCACTAAGGATACCTTTAGCCCAATAATCAGATGATGGATGCATCCGGTTAGAAGGCTGCTTGTATGACTGAAAGTCCAACTCGGCAATCTCCTTAGAGTGATACTTATGAGAAATGGATGGTCGGTGATGCAGTTCAGGATTTCCATCCAAATTGACCATGTGTGTTCCCGCATCCATGAGGCTGAGTAAATGCATCGCCGAAATCGTCTCGGTGGAACACTGCGCCGTAGATCCTGACAGATTTTGGAGGTCCATCCCGCCCTGTCTAGTGTGCTGTGTTTGTTCTGCATTTATGTTGGAAGAATTATTCCTATGATTGTCAAAGCCAATAGCTTTCACTCTCAAATACCTCGGGCTGTGATCCCCCTTAACATCTAAAACGTGCAGTGTCCTAGAACCATGCAGAAACTCATCTGACCTAGTAGGCAAAGCCAACTTCTTCGGTGGAATGTCATATGAAAAGGGAATGCAATTTGGTGTTGCGGTTGATAGATGTGCCACTCCTCGGTTGTGCTGGGGAACAGAATCACAAACTCCATCAACTGAGACTGAAAATTCGTCAACCCCAGACACAAGGCCCACACCCACCATCTGCTTGTTTCTTTTGCAGTAAGGACTGCTAATATGCCTGCCGGAACCGGATAAAGAAAATGCAACCCCACTTGATGGCTTCTCAGCAAACTGAAGGATTCCACGAAGCCCAGTAGGTGGGCAATTTTTCTCCATTTGATTCACATTGGAACACATCGTATTGGGCAGAGAAGAACCATCGACAGATGTCTGCTTGGCAGGTATATAATCCTTGCCCATGTTATGCCTGCGATTTCTAGCCTTTTTTGGGTGAGGTTGCTGTTTATGATTGCCTTGGTTCAACAATAAACTCCAGTCCCTCTTCCGTTTGGTAATATTTACACTTTGAGAACCACCTGATCCAGCGGTCGTTTCTACTGGTTGTTCAGCATTTTCAGCATCAGGAAGGAACCTCTCGTACTGATTCTTTGCCATGAGCTCAACAATTTCCATCGGTATGTCATCAAAAGTTCCTTGTTCAGATGATTTCTCAGCTCCACTATCAAAGTGTTGGTTTGTCAATGTGCACTGCGTCTGAGGACACAAGGTCTTCCTGCTGTTGCTTGTACCTGAAATATCCTGCACACAGAGAAGAATAAGCAATCATTTTCATGAGGATAGTGCAGAAAGAACTTGCATCATGCCAATCTCAACCTTGGAGATGAATGGGAAAGCAGAAGGACAATTAGAGGTCAACAAATTTCATCACCTTTCGGCATAGAAGCCATACACTACTTGTACTGCATGACTCGATATTTGGGAATTGGGAAAACTTCCTTGTACGAGCTCAAGCAAGAGCAAAGAGAAAAAGAAAATGGAGCTGAACACCACCTTATAAAAACTAATATTGGTCATGAGGTGGTTGATACAAGTTCCCCCATTTAGAGAATGTAAGTTGCACAGTAATTTTTCAATCTCTGCTTTAGAAAGGATTGAAGGACCCTATGGATAAGTGGAAGAAAACTATACTAAACAACGTATGAGATAATACTTCATGTACGCAGAAAAGTTGTCAACAACAACTAACTAATTTCCTCCCTCCTCACTTAAGGCATCAATTCCTTCAACTGTCAACGAACAAGAACTCAATGAGAACTTTATTTATTGCAGTAGAGTAAAGCCCATACCATTCGCGGCATTTGGCGGCAAGTGCTGCTATCAAGATTTAACTTGTTCTTTTGCTTGTCATCAAGAAGAGGCATCCTGTTTGTAGCTTTTTTGCTGTTGTGATCAGTAAGTATTCCCTTTGCAACATCTACTTCACAAGTAGAAGTAACATTTGACTCCACGTATCTGGAATTTAGATTTTCCCTCACAATGTGGCCCTCTTTAGGAGTCGCCTCCTTAGAAAATGAAGAAGCTTGCCCGAACACAACCTTGAGAGGATGATTCCTCTTGACATCAGGCACAACCGAATGGCTGTTGAGAGATAGAGCTAACCCATCTTCTACACAAGCATCTTCAGCTGGTCGTAATTGTACAGCAGGAAGACAAAGGCTTGTTGTTCCGGCATCTGTCCTAGTAATTGGACCTTGTCTATTTGAGCTATTACTCGAACCAATCAGAGAGGGCTTTTCGTTGTTTTCTTTCTTATTCTTCATACACATGCTTGAACTCGTATCTCTGGAGGGCGCTTGGGTAAAATAATTTGTTTCCACTAGTAGGTCAGAAGAAGGAATGGAGTCGAACCTGGCGGTGATGGGCGTATAACAGCCCAATTTGAGACATAAGTTGCGAGCAGAACTGGCCGTACCTGCTTCGGTTTTGTCCAGAACACTTTTTGATACATTTTCCTTAGAGGGCGCTTGGGACAAATCTTCGATCACTAGGTTCCTCTTCATTTTCTTCTCAGGAAACTTCAAACTTCCATACTTATTATTAGTCTGATTCTTGATAGCAATCCCGGGAACCATCTTAGCATTTGCTCTGTACTTTGATTCAGATTGCAAAAGCACATTGGCATCTTCAACACCTCCACTGCAATTTAGTGAATCACTGTTTTCCCTACTTGCAGTCATTAGTTCTGTGGCTTTTCCTTCTTCATCTGAAATCAACTTCCTTTTTCTCTTTTGATCCCGAAATCTACTTTTCACAAGTTCTGTGAAAACTGCCTGACCTTGCACAACAGTGTTTGTCTTATCCAAAGGTTCAGATACTGCATTCCTAGGAGGATAATCTGTTCCAATGTGATCAGTGGTTGTACTTTTGCTTTCTCTCAGTAATTCGGTGATCAGGCGTGTCTTTCTGGTTTTTCTACGAAATAGACCACGACTTTTATCCCGATTATGATTGTGAGAACTCTCTCCGAGCCCTACATCTTCACTTTCAGATAATGAGTCGTCACACTCATCCAATCCCAGGGAGGGATTGCCGCTTTCACAGGCTGTGAGATAATGAGGCATCTGATCAGCCACACTAACCGTTCTTAATGTCTCTTCATGGTCCTCAGTCACCCTTCCGTCCTGACCATTGCCAGAAGCTTGTTTTCCTGGTTGAAGGTTTTCCGAAGTATTTCGAGCTTCTTGACTTCTGCCTTGCTGACATGAATCAGGAGAGCCTTTGCATTTCGTATAGTTGTAAACTATTTCAGTAACCAAAAGAGTCACTATGTCAGTAAAAGGTTAAACTTTTAACAACACCGAAATTGATTTTGTCCTGCAAATTAAGACAATTATCAGTCGTTTCATTTACCTTGGACATCTTTTACACTTTCCTGGCCCTGACATTGATCAACTTCTGGTGCGGCAGCTCTTAGTCTGGTAAATTCTACACATTCCAGACTTTTGTTATCTTCAAAACCATCTTCTTCATGTCCTAGAGGTAGAAAATCTTAGTTCATCTCTTGGAATGAATTATCAGGAGCTAGACACAACAGTTTCATAAACATACCTTTTCTGAAAGTGTCACTTTCATTGTCTGTTTTGCCATTTTTGTCAGCAACTAATGAAGCACAACAGTCACTCTTAGTCAGGACAGCAGAAGTATCAGGAATAGCCTCTCTTTTCTCAGTAACTTCCAGCTTCAAGGTTTCCTGAAAATCCAATGCAGGCTTTGATGGTTCAAAGCTGCTCCACATCTGGGAACAAGGGCCATCAAAGATGCATCTTTTACTACAGCATTTAACAACGGTGCCAGTTTCCTTTCTACCAGCTTTAACATTGATCTGCTCGAGACAATTCAGGCATCGCCACAATCGAGAATTTTGAAGAGGTAGTGGAGGAAGCTTGCAAGCTTGCTCCTTTATGGCATTAATGTTACCATCTGATGTAAATGGCCAGCAAATCCTCTCGTCTTTTCTGCTCATTTCAGATACATATTCACTGTACAAGCAAAGGCACAAATTAGTTATGGTAGATAGAAAAATGATATTTTATCGGACAAATATACTTATGTATAAATGTTTACTGTACTTCCACATTGATGGAATTGACCTTTCAACAATTATTACGACTCTGCTAGGTGGAACTTCAGCGTGAGAAAGTAAGTGTCTTTTATCTATGTGATGGGCAAATAATACAGTGCTTCTATAGGCTATAGCAGAAGAAAGATTAGTAGGTCCATATTATTCTTCTAGAGCAAGGAGAAGCAACTAAGTCAGCGTAAAAGACAGTGAAGACAGTAAATAGCTAACGCATGCTGATGGTTTAGTAAAGAAAGAATGAATCGCTAACACATGAAATCTTAATCAGTTAGCTGCTGAATGCATCCACAAGCACAATTCGAGAAGAATGGGACCTTACATGATCCGAGATGAATGAAGAGAATTATCCAATTAGCTACAGCATCTACGTAAGTTACAAGCGAGTCTAAGAAGAAAGTAATCTTACCGTATAGAGAAGCGCTCGCACATTCCAATATAATTGCTATCAATGGCACTGGAAAGATCTATACATATAGACTCAATCGGGATAAACGATCTCCTCGGTTGAGAGGCTTCTAAACTCTTCTCCATCTTAAATAAATTCGCGCCTAAGCATGCAGATATAAGCTTACTTAGGAAGCTAAATAAACATGATTAAATATATACAGAAAACAATCTTGAAACAAAATGAACTCTTATATCACATAACTGGAAAGCATGTATACCATTTGGACTAGGTCTTATAGACACTGACAACACGGAAATAGGTTATGGCAATTGTCAAGTTTAAAATACAAGGAGAAAGGAGACGAAAGAACTCTCTACGCCTACACACGTGATATCAACTTATGCACGATAGAATGTTGCAATAGCTCTTCAAAGGTTAACAAAACTCAAAACCCTAGTCGGCCATTAAAGATTAACTTTAGATAGGTTATGGTATTGCTCTCATAGCCACAAAACACACTAAAGCATACAAGATCAGCTCTCATTTATGTTGCAAATAGATAAACAAAACACCCATAAGACAAATAAAGATTAGGGTTTTGCTTTGGAATGAAAATCCCAACCTCACAAAGAGGACAGTCATCGACAGCGAGTTAAAACTCAAGATCCATGACTGCAACCAGAAACTCCAGCTCAAACATCTATAAAAACATCGAAACGCATCCGAAAACCAAGAGTATAAATCAACACTTGAGATTCGAATTAGGGTTTACTGAATAACCACCAGCAACATAAAAAAAGAGCTACCTCACAAGAATCACTCAAACAGCAAAACGGCACATAAAATAATGGAAAAGAGAGAAGTTAGATAAGCGATGAAGCAATACCCAGATTCAGAAATTCAAAGTAAAGCTCATATTTGTGCCAAGCAAACAGCGAACTATTCAATATATGCCTAAAATTAAGCAACCTCTCGAGCTAATTCAACATGGGTTTATCAAGAAAGTACAAACCCATCGGAGAACGAGTACAAAACAGAAGGAAACATTTCAATTCAGAGAGACCTCAAATCTGTCCGAGCACCAAATCGGCCGATGCCGCGTCCAGTTCACATAGGCTCTTCACGGCTTGTGGACAAGATGGTATCGAACGAAAGAGAACCTGCAGGCGATGACGGAAACGACAGCTCTAGAGAGAGATCTGAAGCTGGTGTTGCAGAATTTGAGTGCGCAAGGCGGAGAAACCCTAGCTTGCAAGGCGAGAGAGGTTTTCGATTCTTGAGGGTGAGGTAGAGGGAGAGAGGGAGAGAGAGAGGGGAGAGAGAGCGAGAGAGAGAGAGAGAGAGAGAGCTCTTGCTGCTTTTTGTTGTGTTTTCCCTGAAATGAGGTTGTCGTTGTATTAAAATTTTGAAGTAACCTGACTTGACCATAGCAAAAGGGTTAGGGGGGGCAAAAACAAAAGGAAAAGAAGCAGCAGCTAGGCCACATATGAAATATACCCATACATATGGATCACACAACAAATACAAGTGCATGCATTTGATGCTTTTCTTTTCTATTTGGAGATACTTTTCAAATCACTTCAATTGCTCAAACTTGCTTGATGAAGTTATGCAAAAAAAAAATCGAAACCCCGCAACAGAAAAATCTAATTTTTTTCCCCATTCTCTTTTCTCTACTTCGCCCATCAACTGTCGGCCGTTCTTACCTCGATGATATTGTGCCCCTCGCCGTGTCATCCTCATCATGCACACTTGCTATGGATCGCGGTCTCTCTCTCCTCGAGCTAGGTAGCACGGCTCACGGCAACGGTAGATGGTGTTGTGGGCCTCGGGCGACATTAAATCTGGGGTCACATAGCATGTATATCTCATACTTTCTTTTAGCATATATGAAACGTTTCTTTATTTGTATACAACTTTTGAAAAATAACTAGTTCCTCCAAACACATACATGTGTAACAATATTCTCTTGTATGTATCTAAGGATATCATCGCTTAGGATGTTTCACGGTTCAACAGTAGAACAAGGTAAGGTAGAACTACTTGTCTCCAATTTAAAGCTATGTATATATTGTTTGCTAAATCTAAGCCCGTCCCACGTAACCCCCTAGCTAGACCAATTTTGTCCTTAAAAGACTATATATTATTATCCTCAAATTTGGAATTTATGTGGTGCCTAAGATATGCATGTTAGTTATCCTTATGTCTGGGGTGGTCTTGTATTTCTTATGGTTCATCAATCTGTGTCCCATAAATAGAACAATAACTTGTAAAATCATAACAACATATCGAATATACATTTAAGAAGATAAGTCTCGAGATATCTTATGTATGCTTGGACACAGATTGACACACACATTAAGGGATAGGAGATTTGCTTCCCTTGTACCATGGAGGAAAGCGTTTTTGTTCGGCTGTCAAGTGTTGCATCACGCATATTGAAGATATAGAGTTGTAAGAATGTATATCCAAGACACAGATTGTCACAGACATTTCAGAATGCGCCTTCTTTTGCTATTTTGGTGCTATGATATATATGTTGTCATTTTATGGATATCGACAACAGGTCATCTATCTTCTACGAGGTCACGAATTTGACTCACATTGTGCGTGAAGTTTTGAACGGTTCATGCCTCATTGCCTAGCAGCGGCATATCTCATGTAGAAACATTTCGTAGCTGCTAGCATCTTGGTGAAGCCGTGGCAATAGAGTTGCCAACCTCGGACCTTGATATCGCGGCCGGTGAGGAGTAACTATGACTCTCATCAAACATTCCATAGTGGGTTTGTGACACTTATGGTAACGCACAAAGGGGGTCGCTAGCACTGGTCGCTCCTCCTTTTCTCTTTAACAGAAGCGTTTTAACCACAACTTAGTTTTAAATTTGATTTCTTCAACTTTTAAGGTACTCCAAGCAGTCTAGAGCTGCTACAACTTCTTAAAAGTAGAACTTGTTCTCTAATAACGCCTCCAGATCACACAACTTTTTTTAGGGATAAGAGGTGGGGAAGGGCAACAAAGCAGCTATCCTCTCTATGCGTAATTGTGAAGCTTTCACACCCAGTACAAAAAAATTGGTGTCGAGCATAAAATTGTAGCCCCACCGATGTGCCAGAAATCAAGAAGTCTCTCCATATTTGACGGTGAATGCTCAACACGCAAGATGGCTAGAGATTCGCTCACAATATAGCTTGAACTTGTGATTCTGAAAAGAGAATGTGACCCTTTTACAACGGAATTATCACGCTCTATGGTTGAATCACATACCTTATTCTAAAGAAAATTTGTATAGACCAATCAAGTACCTAGAGATACAAGCATGTTGGAAGAGACCCAATAACAAGTTCTCTAAGGGTGGTAGGAGTCGCCGTCCCCTTGGGACCTCTCGGCCACTTTCGATGCTCATCAAAATACTTTAGCAAATACATGTTATAAATTACGAAATTCATATGAAACTTTTACATGTGGCCACTTGAGTTAGAGCATTGCAAATATTTATTTTTTATATCTCCCCTAACTTAATTTTCTGCATATTAGTCAAAAAATATCTACATTTTTTTGTCATCCACCTCGCAGAGAACCATATCGTAAACGACCCATGACAACTCGAACGATGTAATCTACTCATTTTATGGGATGATCCGATCTAACAAATTAGTCGATGGAAAAGAAAAATCCGTTAAATCGTGTTCTTTTCTCGTGTAAATTTTTTCTAGATCTCTCGTTTCCTTATCAACAAAGACTCAAACTTAGAACTATTATTCTTTGATAAGTAGCTGTACAGCCTTTTTTATGCAGATCATGCCTTAGTTTATATGAATATTTAAGTCCATATATGGATAAAATCATATCTCGAACGTACATTACACTGTCCAAAATCTCGCGAGCATCATGCACGCGCTATTTGGACCGTTATGGAGCGGTCCCTTCCGTCGCGCGACACGTGTCGACGATCGGTTGGCTGGTCCAAAGATGCCTCCGCATGTAAACGGCTCGTGATTGGAGCGTGGGTTACACCTCCCTGAGGAGAAGGTGGGGGACGGTTGTTAACCTTAAAGGGGACATCAAAGGTTTCTTCTGGTTTCTGGCCACTAAAAACATTAAAGTGGGGGCGTGTCGCGCTAGCACCCATTTGCCTCTGTTGCCCACTAAAAAGTTGCTAGGGTTTCTTCTGGTTTCTAGTTCTGGCCACGTCACGATAAAGGCAAAGAATTATGCAAAAAAAGTAAACGAAAAATGAAAAAAGGAAGAAGAGATATTCACCTAAGAGAGATGGCTAGGGAGGCGTAGCAGCCCCGCATCACCGGGGAGGGCCGACGATCCTCACCCAAGGGTCGACAAAGGGCCGACAACCGTCACCTAGTCATTGGCGACGGCGGCAAGCCTTGGTATGGCAGTGCCAAGCGATGGCGCCGTCATCGCCTGAGGGCCTGCAAACCATTATCAATGAAGACGGGATGGTGCCATCACTCCAAAATGTCTGCCCTCTCCGGCGTTCCCGCTCTTTGTAATATTTTTGGTTTCAATTTCGCTTTCCTCCTCTTGATCGTTTTTGGCTTCTTTAAAGAGAAAATTTAACTTTTCTTAACGAGGCACTGCATCAAAGTTATGTCTCTATGTTCAAATTTATTTTACAAGGCCACATTTACTTTTTGGACTAGCGTTGTCATAAAAATTGGCAACGGTGTCGCCACAATTACAACATGATACCGAGTACAAAATGTTTAAGAGAGTTGATTGCATTTTGTCCTAAACATCTAGGATTTTTCATGTAGTTTTACCTTTGGAGAAAGATCTCATTGATAATAATTGAAAGATTCTCTAGCTTCTTTTGAAAAGAATAATGATGGGGGAGGAATAGTACAAAGAAGTGGGAATTAGAAAAAAAAAAAAAAAGGAGTTACACATTGAGCATCTAGACAGCAGGAAAATGCCTAATGTCCTACCAAACAAGGTCGTTCGGGTACTATAAATGAATATAGGTTATGGTCCTTTTATAGAATATAGGTCACTAGTGTAAGAAAAATAATTTCACAATCGGCTTCATCCATCATAGGTTTAGTGATTATAGCTATTCACTCTTTTATCAATCTTCCAACTAATGATGAATGAAATCGCTTGTGAACTTTATGTTTAAATCAGCAATGTATGCTCGAATAATCCATATGTTATGTTTTGCATTTGCACGGCTATATCTAAAGTTCAAACTTGAATGTAATTACTACTATGAATTGACTCTTCTAACATGAAATGTCATCTTCTTTTCATGAGTCGAAAACAGATAATACACACGTATACATTCGTACATAGATAAATACATAGGATGACTTCTTCTTCAAAATTAGGAGGATCTCAAGCTAATAACTCAAGCTAATACACCAAGGGAAAGGTATACTAGATATAGTGCTCTCTAGTTTATTGTGGATTCAACTCTCAAAGAAGTATCATTAAGCCCTGGGGGGACTTTATGTTTCTTTACAAAAGTACCTTTAGTCTCAGGAGTTGGTATAGAATGAGGTAGCTATAATGACAAGATATCTGTACATGTCATGACATCGATGTTGTTTCTCTATTGATGGTGGATCTAAATAATAATTGATAGTTTTAAAATTTCTATCAGATGTGTAAAGCTGGCTACCTAAACTCATGCATGATGCATCACCTATAGTTTTCTCCTCTTCTGGCCCCCCAAAGATGATTATGCATGTGCTTCTAAATAGGCAGTCAATGGCCAATTAATAATAAATTTGCGTCAATATGAAATGTACAATCCTATAAGTTCATGAGATACAAATGTATGTCACGAGATATTGGTACTATGTAGCTAAGCTCGGCTTATGCGACCATGACCAACTTGAAAAAAATAGCTAAGAATTAGGTATTCGGTACCCTTTGAATATCTAACTAATCTTATTGGATGTGACGGTCAATCTCCATGACCAACTCTGTATCAAAAACATCCTTTGTTCTTAAACCCAATAGCACACATTTCTTATCTTATAGTTTTCTATAAAATCATGAACACTTTATCCACAAAGGACTTACTTTATCTTGTGAATGAATGACTTAGGGTTCAGAAGTTTCTCTTTTGTCTTGAGCTAAATCTTGTTGAAGGGAAAATCATCGGCAATACTATGTAAATTAGTCACTGGAATGAACGAAATGTCGTCTGTGTATATACCCTAATAAAAGAGGAACAATTTCTTTGACCATCTCTACATTATAATGCAAATCTACGATTGGTTTCAATTTCAAACTTTCATCAATGAGGTTCATGAAAACCCATTTATTATGTTTCTTAAACGAATCGTAATCATGCAAATCTTCAAACATTAATTTTTTTCCCAATGATGCATTTATCTTTTCAGATTCTTTCCTTGTGAAAGCGCGTGATGAAGGGAAGTTATGGATTTATATTGTGTACACAATGCGTATAACTTTTTTCTGCACGTTCCACGATTTTCCCCATTGAGATAAGCGATTAGTCACTTGCTACAAGTAAAACTACCCGTATATCTACGGTGTTAGATGTGAAATGTGTAGAAAAAAGGGTACACAGCATGTGTACTTCATGTATATATAATATATCCATAAAATCATTATTGAACGTTGGCAGGATTCATTATAGTGGGGACAATAGGCCCCAATAAGCTGAAAAAATATTATCACTACTTACTATAATTACAAATAAAATCAAAGAGAGATTCAATGAAATTTTGACTTGAAAATCTGAAGCTGCTTTTGGGGATGCCCACTACCAATTACCCCTATTTATGCCACTGCATGCTGAAATTTGAAAATGGCCAATTAGTTTTTTTTTGCCTTGCACTAGAAAAGAATTTGTATTTCATGCTTCAAATGAAAGATATCTGCAGAAATAACCAGAAAAAGAGCTGATAAAAAAACTATGATATTTCTTGACCAAAAAAAAAAACTATGATATTTGACCACTGTAAAGCAACCATTACTTTATTAATTACTGATTGGTGATCGATCTTTCCCAGGGTTAATGCAGGAAAGAGTGATTCTATGTAATCTTTTTTGTGCAGCATACTGATTCCGTGGTCACTTTCATTGAAAAAGACATGTTTTCTAATGAAACGACTACCAACTTAATGCTTGTCGGACACGAAAACATGTAAGTGACAAATATTAGAGGCATTATACTCCTTAAAGCACCAAAAAAATAGATCACATGAACCATGATTATTTGTTTCAGGGAGGGTAAGTTCCGGATAAAAAATCTAGAACCTACCCCGTTAAAGTCAAATACGGATTTTTGGAACCGGGAACCAAACCAATCGACTTAAAATTAGCCTAAAACTGAACGGTTAGTTCGGTCATGAAAGGGTATTTGTTTCTATCTTTGGTGATTTAGTTCAAGATCATGTTCTTGTTCTCTTTTTGGCCCGTTCTACTCATATGATCTAGTAAAAATAAATATATTAAATGGCTGTTTTGGAGGCGATTCCGAAAGGCATTGCCTTTTCTGTTTATCAGCGTCAGACCACCTTGACAAAAATCTTGAAATTGAAAATTTACTATGAATATCATTTAATTATGGGAGATATTGATTAACCAAACTTAGGTTAGTCTCAATACATTAATCACGGGCCAAGATCTTCACTTTCAAAAAGATAAATAAAAAGATAGTTCAACCCTCATGTGGAAGAAGATATAAACATTTTTCTGACACTTGCTTAGGTTAAAAGGAAACAGAACTACAAATATATATTAGTAGCACCTTTCGCTTAAATCTGAGAATTAAATAATATCAAAATTTCTACAGAACTAATGTATTAGCCACGAGAAATCCTATTTATCTCCTTCAATAGCTTAACACTCTATTTTTCGGTTTTCGAATATAGAATAAAATATCAGCAAATAATAAACTTTTATCCTTAAACAAAATAAAGATGATACGCACAGTCGAACAAGCAAGTAAACATATGTCACGGGTTTATAGAACAAGTAAATTGGAAATACTCAGATACCAAAACTATATGTTTGTTTCACGAAAAATCAATAATTTGAAAAAAAAATTGCAAAAAATTATTATTTGTATCATTTGAAATAATTAGTTAATAAAAATTATGTTCATTATCGATGATAATTTATGTTTAAACATTTTTTAGGACGCTAAAAATATTTTTCGTTCATTCGTATTTGTAAGTGATATATACGATCATTTTTAAGAAAATATTTTTTAAATCATTCATTATCCACGAAACAAATGGAGCCTTAGGCAAATGCACTTGTAGAACAAGTAAATTGGAAAAACTTGCATAGTAGCCTACTTAAAAGTACTGACCTTACGGCATACGCTTTCTACCTTATTATACGTGGAACCTTACTCGATGTATATGGTAGGACGCTCACGTGCATCGACAAGATTAATCGAGTAGAAGATTTTGATATCCATGTGATCAAAGGCGAGATATAGAGAGGACTATGAAAGGCATAGCGAAGCGGCGGCAAAGAGCCATGGTGCTTCTCTTTGCTCGAAGATGAAGAGAGGAATCGATAGAGACGAGACACGCTTATGAAGAGAGAGCCCCATAACATAATTGAGAGTTATTTGTCCTAGGTCGACATGGATTTTCTATTTTACACAATACTCCTTCCCGTGCCTCGATAAATCTTAACATTGATTTGCATATGGGAATAAGGTGGTTGTCAGCAATTCAGAGTTGTCGATCGAAGGGAGCGCCGTACAAAGTAGATGACCGTTAGGGTAATTAACCTTAATCTATATGTTATGGATCAAATGAAGTTGTGATATGTAATGTTAAAGCTATATTGCAAGTTTAGAAGTTTTATCACTATAATGTTGAAGTAACAAGATTATATATTCTAGTTAAATTCCTTATAATTGAAAGGAAGAAATTGATTGACTGGTGCATTGCTTAAATAATCTTAATTATACTTTAGATTGGCAGTATCTTATTGAGTAATGATATATATCATTAATTTTTTGCAATTTGTTGAGCTTTAAATTAAGTGGATTTTTAGACCCAAAAAAAATATTAAGTGAATTTCATTGTTGGGAAAACTTTTCTATATTTGAGTAACACGATACTTTCGCTTTGTGCTTTCTTGACATATAGATAAATAAGATTTTGAAGTTAACAAAATAAGCTATACATTTTTTAAAATATATTTGAAAATTCTCTCTTTCGTTTATATTTTGGAATATAACTCAATTAAGAGATAAGTGTTTGGAGATAACAAATTAATAAGCTAATGCTTATTGATCAAATGTGGACCATGTGGCAAAGCTATGTGATGTGTCTTGCTACATGGCAATCGCGAACGTAAAAGGTTAAGTGCTACGTGCCGAGTACAGGACCAAACATTCTCTCATTTCTGAAATTAATTATACATATAGTAAAATAGGGTGCCACGGTATACATTGAAATAAATCTAGGAGATGTTATTACTTATTAGATCTCATATGAAACTATGATTGAAGGTGCGTGTGGGACTAAGTCACGGCGTCTTTAATCCCCCCAACTTAAGGTATCACTCGAGCGTGCATGCATGCAAAACTCATATTAACTATATGTTCGAGTGAATATTAGGCTCCGTTTTTTTAGCGGAAAATGAGTAATTTAGATAATATTTTCCTAAAAATGATTGTTTATGTCGCTTATAATAAATTAGTTAATGAAAATGTTTTCATTATCAACAACAATTCATATCTAATCATTTCCGTAGACGATGAAAATATTTTTTCGTTCATTCATTTTTGTAAGCGATACAAATAAATATTTTTCAGATCGTTCATTTTTCGGGAAACAGACATAGCCTTAATATTATTATGAAACGGGACAATAAATACATGGAATATGGACGTGAAATTAAAGAGATAACGCAAGATAAGAAAAACACTGTGGTGGTTCTTCTTGAAATTCTCAGAGGGGCCCATTGACCCCACCCAAATTATTTTCCCGTCAATTATCGTATACAAGATTTTCGAAATTGGCCCCACTGACCCCGCAAGATTTTGATTTCTGACCCCACTAAAAATATAGTCCAACCAATTTGATCCGATGTCCCACTTTCGAAAGTGTCGAGTACGACTAATGGAGCTTCTGACACCTTTTAGGTTTAACTCATAGTTAGTGGGATTAAAGAGTTAACCTGTCAAGAAATGTCATGCCATGGAGCTTATGAAACTCGATAATTAGCTTGATATCAATAATTTGCTCTAATTCGAGTTATCAAATTCAAAATCGAACTCTTAACCCTAAAACTTGGGTGCCGTTTATTTCGCAAAAAATGAATAATTTAGAAAATATTTTCCTAAAAATTATCGTTTGAAATAATTAGTTAATAGAAAAAGTTTTCATTATCGATAATAATTTACGTGTAAAAATCTTCGTGGATGATAGAAATATTTTTCGATCATTTATTTTTATGAGAGATACAAGCTAAAAGTGATCGGTTTTCGGTTAGTACGGTCTAGTTCTCGGGTAGGCAAATGGAACCGGTGGCTCCCCCCACCATCGCCATCGGCGAAGCACCTCTCGTGCTTCCAAACCAAGCCACTCCTTCCGATGACGCTCATGGTCATCCTACTCATTGCTCGTCCAAATCTAGCCTCGTCCATGGCTCGCGAGGTGGCTAGTCCACAGATCTGGTGAGCCTGGACGATGGAGGAGTGGCTTAGCTTGGACGAGTCACTGGTCCAGCTTTGGAGTTGTGCCTCTTGATCTGGCCTTCGAACTTCCAAATGGCGTGATGTCCATGGTCACAAGCGACGATGGTGAGGGCTCGGCTTGGACACACGAGCCTGGACGGCTTCATCGGCGACTCCGCTAGTCCAAATGTGGAGTCTATGAACTTCCAAATTTATAGCTGGCAACGACTTAAAGGACGGAAGGGGTGGCTGGGCTTGGACAAGCGATGCCAGTTATGACCATGGACGAATAGATTTCCCTGAGCAATGAAGCATAGAAACTAACTCACTAGGCAATGAGGGAAAATGGGAGTAATGAGTAGGGTTTTTTTAGATTTATAAAAATTAAAAAAACTAATTAATTAGGTTCAGGTAGGGATGATCGATTTTAGGATGGATAAGGTCTAAACCTGGAACCTGGAACCTACCATATTATACTCGGTTCTCAATTTTTAAAACCTAGAACCTACCATGTTTTTCCTAAATCCTGTTTTGGAATCTACTCTGTTTTTCATGTCCAGTTCCAAGATCTATTCGAGAGCCTGTTTTTTTTTTTTCCTTTTTGTTCCTTTTTCCGGTTGCACACCCCTCTGACAAAGTCCCACTGGAAGGAAGGAAGGAACTCACAAGAAATCAAACACCCAGAATCCCAAAGCAAGAAATTGACGCATCAAAAGTGACCCAATGCTCAATTAGAGATGGATATAATCTTTACGGAGCAAGGGACAATAAGAATCACTTTACCTCGAAACTTGGAGCTGACTATCGATTTCTAAACGCACTTGACAAACAAAAGATCAGAGAGAATCGGAGAGAACGAGGGGGGCCAAGATGGCGGGCTGGTGGCGACGGTTTCCCGTGACACCGTGTGCGGATGAAAAAAGAGTGGCACGGTGCAAGGAACTAACTAAGGAAGAGGGAGAGTTTGAGACAAAGACGGAGTGACTGACGGTCGATGATGGTGGGCCGGTGGCGACGGGTTCCTGCGACGCCGTGCGAGCGAGGAAGAGGAAAGAATCGAAGACGACGATTGTTGATCAAGCGGCGAAGTGAGAGAAAATGAGAGAGAGAGAGAGAGAGAGAGGCGACTGTACTGGAGAAGAAAGGGTTTTTTTTTTAACCCTACATAAAACCAGTTCCAAAATCGGTCCGGCCAGTCCGGTTCCCGGGTGGGCCTTTACTTGGAACTGGAAACCAGACCGATTATAACTGGTTCCCAACAAAATGGAACCGGTTCTCAGACCAGTTCAAACAGGAACCGATTCCTGGACCTATTTTTCGGGTAATTCTGTTCGGTTTCCAAATAAATTCGGTCTGGTTGCGTGCCCATAAGTCCGAGTGGGCAGTTCCACCCTTGGAATTAGGAATCGGATCAAATTCACCGATTCCAATTTTATGAAACTGGGCACAGGATCGGTGACTCTGGAAATCACCCACAATCCGCTGGTTCGGTCCGATTTGATCCGATACGAGTGGCTTTCGATCCGGGCAGTTTCTTTTGCTTATTCCTAATACAAGCTATCATTTTGTGAAAATATTTTTAAAATTATATATCTTCTTCCGTTGCTTCTCTCTCTCCATAACCTTTCCGTACGATTTCTTGAGGGACTTTCCTCCCCACCTTCGTCTCGTGGCCAATTCGTACCACTTTTCTGACTTCGCGCCAAGCCAACCACTACTAAAGTGGAGTGTTTCGTTGTGTTGGGTCCTGTTATCAGCCTCAGATCAAGAGGGACCCCTTTTGCAAATCGATCCACCAAACTTACCAAATTGCACTAATTGCACTCATTGCACCAAAACTCAAACCAAGTTACCCCCACCCAAAAAAAAAAAAAAGAAACACTTAAATTGCAATTAGTGAAGCCAGAAAGTTAAGCTGCTAGGATAAGTTCGCTCTTTAATTTTCTGATCGAGAGCTTTCTTCTCTCGATCTCATGCTCTTTCCGCTTAACTCATCGATCACCGTCTTCGCACCTTTGAAGTTAGGCAACAAGATATTCGAAAATGTCGAAATCTGCGCTCACATTTACAAGCGCGACTAATCTATGCTCATCATAAAGGAAATATATTTTCGAAGATGGTGATTGAACGCGATTGATGTTGAGCGTACCTACTTAGTCTATATTAAAGTATAGAATGAGGAAATTATCCAAATTTTATCTTCAGCTTCCTTACGAGTTTCCTCCCATTTTGCTATGAGCACCTCAACCAACTCTAGTCAGAAATCGCAGGCAGACGTTCCCTCACAAGGTTTAAAATATTTGCAGGGTAGGACTTGCTTGTTCTAACCCAATCTGGCTCTCTTAAAATATATAGCCAATAAAAAATTTCTCCTTTAAACTCACATGTTGGTAGGTTCGACAATCTAAGTACCGTCTTCGATATTAAATGCGGGAAATCGTGTTAAGTGATTCAGATTACTTGTTTTGAAAGGCTTTATTCCATGTGAAGTAGGTCGGGTCATTATAAATTGTATCATAGCAATATCCCTTCCTGCAGATCTGTAGTTTGCGCACAATCAAGCTCATACCCGATCTAACAAGACAGACGAGTACAAGATGTGTAACCTTTCAAGGTCTCATACCGGTTGAGGCGGGCCTTGTTAAGTAATTCGCAAGTAGAATTACACTTTTAAACTCACTCAAAAAACTCCTTTTAGGATACCGATTCAAGCAAAATGGATCGAGATGTTAAATGACGCATTTTTCTTTTTCATTTTATACTTCACACTACAAGTAAAGTAAGTGCAAATGATATCTCGATTTTCCATTTATTTCTACTGAACTCTTCATTTAGCCTTCACTCACACATCTTATTCGATTCACGAGATTAATATACAAGCCGGGATTTTCCCTATTAGTTTATATCAAGACAAGTAATTTTGCTAAAAAGGGTCTCTATTTCCGGACATTTTCGCAATCTGCCAAATAAATTTTTTTTTTAAAAGATTCCCTCCTTCGCAATCTGCCAATTAGAGTGAAAAAAAGAACATGAGATCGCTGCTTCCGCATCCGCACCTTCCTCGCCCGGCTCTCTTCTCCTCCTCCTCCTCCTCCTCCGCCCCTCGGCTCCCGCCAACGGCCGCGCGCGTGGTGGCCCGCCTCCCGCACGTGCCCGCCATCGCGCCCCGCCCCCGCCCCGCCCCGCACGTGCGGGCCCACCCGCCACCTTCCTCCTCCTCCTCCTCCTCCTCCTATAAATACGCCACCGCCGACGCGGACGCTCCTCCATCTACGGCGAGCAAGATGGCCGGAGAAGCCGTGATCGACGCCGAGAAGCTTCGCTCCGATTTCGTGGAATTCCTCCGCAGCAGACGATCCGAGGAAGGTAAGTTCGACGCCCTCCATGGACGCTACGCTCTCTTTGGTGCTTTCGGCTTGAACTGGTACTGCCGTTTCGTTTGATGAGGATAAGTGATCGAGTGAGTTGCGTTGCTTTCGTTCATGATGTCGAGGCTCGACACCTCTGTTTTGGAGCAGTTCGTAGCGCGGTACGAGCTGTTGTGAGATTCGGAAGCTTGTTGAATCAGTGTCTTTTGTTCGATTATTAGAGTGCGCGTGTGCTTGGAGGATCAGGTGTGTCTTAGTTTTTGTGATTGTGAAGTGCGTGTAGATCAGTTTGTGAATTTGATCTGGAGTGGATTCATCCGTCGATTATGGATTAAGAGGAACAATGAGAGAAGAATCGATTGTTGTCAATAGCCTTTGGCGAGAAAACGGAAATCGGAGATACAGTGTTATTGGATTCATTCATTCAAGCCGATTCATGCTTTTATGTGATAGAGATTTCTGGAATGGCATATTCTGTCTTCTGTTCTTTGGATTTCCAAAACGAATGACACTATGAAGCATTTCGCTGACATTTTGACAGAACAGAGTGACTAGAAGCTTGTCGAAAACAAATGTGTAGTCGCGAATGGTAATTGTCTCTGTTGTGCATTTCAGTCGAGCTTTCCGTAGAACCTGCAAAACCGGTGGAGAGCCCTTTGTATCAAGATGCTAATCCGCCTAGTTTCTGTGAGGTACGCAATTTCTATGGGGACACATCAAGATCATTTGCCTTTTGTGAGATTTCTTGCCGTGGAGTCGTTTACATCTGGGTGTGGAATTTGTTTAGGCAATGGAATCTTGTCCCAAGGAAAACATTGAGAATCTCAAGGAGCTACTTAAGGAGGAAAATCTTTACTTAATTACTGAGGTAGTTCATACCTAATGGCATTACAGCGTCAACAATGTGTCCATTAAAGGATCATTTCCCATTAGCCTTTGATTGTGGTTTATTGCTATAATTCAGAAAGGAGAGCAGGGTTGCTTGCCTGTACTCATCGTAAGCATGAAAGAGGACACCGTCCGAAAGAGGCCTGCTATTGTGTTTCTGCACAGCACACGCAAGTGCAAAGAATGGCTACGCCCTTTGCTTGAGGTAGCTACCTCCTGGCAGCAGACCTATGAGACCCTCTGTTCATGACTGAGGAATAAAGCATATGCTTACTCTTGCTCCTCTTTCCTCCAGGCATATGCTTCTCGAGGATATATTGCTGTTGCTGTTGATTCTCACTATCATGGAGAACGCGCCAGTAGTCTGACCACCTACCGCGATGTCTGTTTTGCTATTACTATGTATACTTATTCCTTGTTTTTCCTTGATTCTGCATTGACTGTTCAAAGGGACTTGGTCTTCCGTAAATACCGTCAATAGATTAGTAAGAGAAGAAATAAAATACACTTCAGCAATTTGGTCATAAGGTGCCTCACTATACAGAAATGCTTTCTCTAACATCTACTATTTATAGCTATATGGTTTCCTTTAAGGGAATGATATTTCATTTAGTTTTTTCGTCTATTTAGATAGAAAAATTGTCATGATTATCTGATGAGTGTAAAAGATGGTTTTGACTTTATTAAGAAAACCTTTCATTGATATATCTCTGTCTGGTTATCTCGGTCACAATGCAGGCTCTTATATCATCATGGAAAAAGGGTGATACTATGCCATTTATATTTGATACAGTAAGTCCTTCTAAAGTTTAGTACTTCTGCCTATTTGATGATCCTAACAGCATCATTGCCTAGTTAGTGTATTTCACGTGATTGAGTACAGAAATACAGCTTATTTAGCTCTGGGTATTGAGGAGACACTTGAATCATTGCAGGCCTGGGACTTGATCAAATTGGCCGAATATCTCGCAAAGAGAGAGGATATAGACCCTTCAAGGATAGGGATCACGGGCGAATCACTTGGAGGTTGATTAATTAGAACTTAGAATAGGTCAGATGCCATAAGTGATACTTACTATCACCTATCTATTTGACATTCTACATTGTCATCAAGGAATGCATGCATGGTTTGCTGCTGCTGCTGACAAGCGCTATTCTGTAGTTGTCCCTATTATCGGTGTGCAGGTTAAAAGTACATCTTTTTAATAGTCAATGTCTTTCCTTTTCTCTATCTTTTGCTAGGTATCAAGTCAAAAAATTTCAGTATTAATATTAAACAATTATGCGCAGGGGTTCCGATGGGCCATAGACAACGATATGTGGCAGGGTAGAGTTGACAGCATAAAACCTGTGTTTGAAGGTAACATCAAGGCTTATATGCTATGATAACATTATCGATATTACTTTATTTCCAGCTTCTTAGGCATCTAATCAATTTGTCTCAGGCCAATTTGTTCGGAAAAATAGCATATGCTATAATTGTTTATAGAGGAACTAGTTCTGCTCTTTTCTGCTTATCATGGATGCTTTATTGCCAAAATCATTGTTCTGAGAGTATTTACTCTTAATAGCTTAACAAGTTCAAATTACACATTTTTTTTGGATTATCTAGATAAGGATTTAATAATTTTAACACTAGAATGCAATCGGTTTAGTTGCTCCTACACCAGTAAAAATTATCCTTCTGGTTTACCATAATAGTACATGGAATGGCAGGTGTACTTATTTTATCGAAGAACGTTATCCCTTCAAAGTAGCACATTGTCAATAATCAGTATTTTTAGTTTTGATGCTAATTGAAAAGCAAGTAAATAGGCATTTATGAAGTTACATCGCAGCATATGGGAGTGCATGTGTTCTTGGCATATAGTTTTCCTTGTAATGACCTATTGAATGAAAATTGTGATATGAGCATCGTCTGCTAGTGCTGTATAGCATTAACTATTGTCTGAAAATTTTGTTCTCCTGGAATACTTTGGCGAAATATTGGGGGGCCAGTCAGCATCTTTAACCAAGTCTCGGGAAAAATCTAAGTGCAAACAACTCAATAATGCTTCTAGTTTTTCACTTGCAGAGGCATGCATTGATTTGGGAAAGAGCACCATAGACAGAGAAGTGGTGGAGAAGGTTGTTTTTTTACTATCTATCCAATTAGACATCTCGGTTATCTAGTATATATATTATTGTCAGGTAGTTAGTAGAAAATCTTAACATTTAATTGCTTAGAGTTCTGTTTATGCTTGTGTTCCCTAATTTTCTAGAAAGATTTTCCCCCTGTTCTAATCATTCCTAATGTCAAGCTTCTGGTGAACTGCATTCTGATATGCCATTTTAGTAATCCTACTTATGCATTCAAAGAGCACGGTGCTTCTAATAGTCATATGCTTTCTCCGTTACTTCAGATTATACATTTAATTTCCTTCGATAGATGTGCGTCTAAACTCTTGCTGGTTTCACGTTTATGTTCCCGTTAAGCAGGTATGGAATAGGATAGCTCCTGGTCTAGCCTCTGATTTTGATGCCCCCAACACAGTCCCAGCCATTGCTCCACGGCCCCTTCTGATAATTAATGGTAAAGTCATTTCTCACATTGAAGATGACATCTTAATATTTTGCACTCAAGATCTCCAGATGGTGTTGGTGACATATAATCATTTCAATATTTAAAGAACCATGTTTAGATTCGTTCGATGTGCGTGACACATATCTGGTGATAATTTGCCCATATAGAATCCTTGAAACTTATGTTTTGTCTTAATGTACATGGAACTCAGCTCACTGTTTGTGCATCGTAAAGACTGAAGAAAATAACTTGGTTCTGAAAGTTTGTAGTCTATTGTTGTTTGCCGTCCCATATCAACTCTGGATTTCTACTATTTTCCATTTATGTTCTTCCTTATGCTGGTCTACCGTGGTTTTTACATGAAAGACATTTATTGTCTTTGTAGACCAAGTACTTTCAGGACCAAATGACATTCAGTTTTAGAAATCTGCTTTGATGCATCCGACTAATAGACGTATTTCCTTTTCCAAGATTTTTTTGTTCCTTAAAGATGAACATTTTGTCCTTTTGATCTTGTTTTCTGACGTAAAAATCCAAGCTGGGAATCAGGAGATCTGTCAGCTGCTTAAGTGGTTGGATAACAGATGCATTGATGGCTTCAGATGCTCTTTGTTGAACTGCAATTCCGCTATCCTGCCAATAACCTGATAATTCTTGTGAAGGAAATTAAAACTATCATCATGCAAATTGACAATTTCAGGTGCAAATGATCCACGCTGCCCTCTTGCCGGCCTGGAAGTTCCAAAATCAAGAGCATCCGAGGCTTATGAGAAGGCACATTGTCCAGAGAATTTTAAGGTGACCTGCCTCATCGCTTTCACAGATTTTATTTGCTGTTCTCTAATTAGAACATCAAAGGCAGTCAAGGTAATGAATACATAAGGGAAGAAAGGAAGCTTCGCTGACCCAACTCCCGCATTTCATTAGGGTCGACTGTTCTTTTCCTGACTAGGCACCAGTGCTGGTAGTACACGTAGGAAAAAGTTTATTTCTTATTAGAAGCAGAAGTTTTCAGTCATCCTGACTTCGAGCAAAGCAACTGGCCTCTGCACCTCACCCCTTGCGCCGGCGTTCGAGCTTAATTCGGCTCTAGGGATTCACCAACACACCTTCTTACTTAATGTACAGAGAGTCCAGCCCTTTGGTTCTAAAAAGGAGTAAAAAATAGAGAAGAAGAAACCCCCCCACACTTACCCCCACAGTAGCTATGTGGACGGGTCACGATAGACACGTGTTGGCTCGGAAGCGACAGGTGGCGATTTAATCATGATGACGGGTGGTGGTTTAGTCATATGATAGGTAGTGGTTAATCCGTTCCACGGGGCCAATGGGCATTTAATTTTTTCAGGATGACCCATCGTGTATGAACATTGTGTCTGGCCGTTCAGGAATCGCTGGCCGTTGAATGTACCCATTGGGTTGAAGTGCTTGGCCCGTCGGGGTTATCGGGGGCACGTATCATTAGCCCAACGGTCAGCCAAATCCATCATCACCAGCCGGCTCACATACACTGTACAACATATACTTTCACGCACCCGCACCCGCACCCGCACACGCCCCTACGCCAGATTCCAATATTTTTACTGTTATGATTTGATCGAGAACCCCACAACTTCCATCGAGAAACTGATCTCTTCTTCCCAACACGTGCAGTTAATCGCAGAACCCGGAATCGGACACGATATGACACCGCTGATGGTCAAAGAGGCTAGCGATTGGTTCGACAGGTTCCTCAAGCAACAGTAACAACTATCTTTGCTGTTTCTGTGGCTATCTGTTGCTTCTCATGTATTTTCAGTATCCTTCAGTTGTGTTCCGTAGCGGGTGCTCTCCGGACCCAGGCCTTTGGGGTGGATCCCCGGTGGTGTACGGATCGTCGGGTTGTGTGTATTGTAAGGGAACTTACCTTTTCCCCTATTTCACCGATTGCGTTAATTCAATTCCCCAGTTATGCTGTCTGAGCTCGCCTTTGATATTCCCCCGGCTGCTTCTGCACGGACTCAAATGACCTCTCTACCATAATTAACACCAGAAAGATTACCTTGAGAGCATGAGTATCTGTTGACCACATCCCCACATCTCCATGGATGCGGAGATACTTTATCGCCGAAGCATCAATCGAAAAATCCTTCTGCTGCCCTGACATCCTTATCCCCGTATTCTGCACATCCATTCTTAGCAACTTTCCCTAGCAACACACCGGTTTAACTTCAAGTGCTTCACCCCTTTTACTGTGCAATCTCTCCAAGTTCATTCATGTCCTACGAACGCGTTACTAATACCAGCACGAGACACAGTTTGAACTTTTGCCCTGCAAAACTACTATACCAAATGCCTCCTTACAATCATTTTCACACTTAATTAAAAATGTACGACTTAGACATTCCAGACAAGTGTATATGTGCTGAATTTGCTTCTCAGAATGGTATGTCGCGAAAAGTTGGATACAGTACTACAGTGTCTGCAACTGGATTCTTATAAATTAGATTGTTGCGTCGTGAAACAGATACAAAATCTTCTACAAAGGGGAAACAAAAAATAAACTTGCACGGTTAAAAATCGGCAACATTTCCTCTTAGCACTATAACATACGTCGCCCACCCATGCCCAACAGAAAATACAGAAAAAAGAGAAAAAAGGAAAACAAAACAAAATCATGACGTGTCATACAGGCACGGAAGGAACAACAGGTCTACTCAACTTGCTCTTTGAAATTCTAGAACAGAACATGAACATTAGCAGCACAAACGATAACAGGAAAAGCCTGAAGTACGTCCTAATCTCTTGCATACCGAAATCGAGCACCTCCATCTTCTTCCCGTACCTGCTGCTCCTGTCCATCAAGTACCCCTCGAGATACTCATCGATCGATTCCAATGAGCTCGGTCTGGAGTCTTTTATGTGGATCTCCTCTAGGTATCGGGGGCCATGCTTGAAGATTGTGAAGAACGCTGCCGACCAATCACTTAGAACTCTCTGAAAGTGAACACAAACGTACTTTTAAGGCCACTTACCTTCATTCATTACCAACCGTGGAGTGCGAACTTAAATCCTCCAGTTTTATTTGGTCTTGGTGTAATGACAGCTAGAGTGAAACAAGATTAAGAAGTGAACTTACGTTGTAAGTGCTAACATCTGTCGGATTGAACATTCTGAAGCAGTCCTTTGGTGATGCTGCTCCATCTCCATAGATCTGTCATACAACATTTCGGTCAAGTGATTGTGAAAGCCACAATAATATAAGCCAGTCTCAAAAAAGGTAAAGTGCGCTATGAACTAACCTCAAAGGTAAAAGCCATGGGCACCCTTGCAACATCGTACATGTAATCCGTGGCAGTCCCATGCGCCAGATACCTGAAAACAACTGCTTGTCAGAATATGGGCAAAAGTAACTAGAAAGCATTAGACGTTTATCTACATCCTCTGTGGCATGGAGACGTTATGAAAATTTTAGTCTTTAGTAGATAGGGTTAGTTCGGGTTGCGATCCCTGACCAACGTATATGCTTCAAGACCATATATGACGTGGAGATATACCCAGAATAACTCGATCTACTATGATGAAAGAGTTCGCTCAAGCTGGACAATAATAAGCCATCTAGTATAATGGCATCCCATCAACCATTGGGTGCTAGGCTATTTGAACCTAGGTAACCAGTTGAATGCTCCACCAATAAGGAACAAGTAAATTTTGGTTCTAACTGAAACTGTCAGTTTGGGCCAGTTTAAGGAAAGTAATATTGTAAATTCTATTTAAAAACGGAACTAGGTCCTTCTTGGAAACAACACCTTTTGCCACTTAGACATCCTTAAGAGTCATTATTAGTTGCAACCGAGCTCTAGTTTGGTTTTGTATCATTTTCTGGACAGCATACAAACTAAAGTAATCGACTGGCTTTAAAAAATTGAGAACACAAACTGAGCCTAACACTCCGCTTGTTCCGCTGAAAATGAATTATATGAAAAATATTTTCTTGAAAATGATCGTTTGTATTGCTTACAAAGATGATTTAGATATAAATTATTGTCAATAGAAAAAAACATATTTTATTAATTAATTATTTCAAGCGATACAAGCAATCAATTTTTAAAAAAATATTTTCCATATCATTCATTTTCCAAGAAACAAATGAAGCCAAAGCGATGGATCGCTTTCAAAAGTCTGTGGAATGTACAAGAGAATTGGGTGCAGAGCATCTATTTAAACCAGCTCGATTTCTGCACCATAAAGAGTGATCCAATTGGTATAAAACATAAGTTCACTTGGATTGTCTACTCATTCTCACACGCTTGCACACTTCCCAGTCAAATAAAAAAAGTCCTACCAAACAAGAAGCAGAATAGCAAAAATGTAAGCATGAAACAATAAGTCAGAGTGAATGGAGATGGAGACGCATCAAGATACTCAACTTGGGTTCTCAACCTAGCAATTACAAATTTAAGGTTTGTCGTTTTGACTTACGAAAAGCAAAAAGCAATTTTGTTACTTTCTCGTCAAATTTAAAATTTATTTAACTTAAAAGTTATGAAGAAAAAATGTGACTTTACCGTGTCAATTAATAGTTGCGAATATTTTAGGTGCTTAAAATTACAAAAAAAATGAAAAAAGAAAAAAGTCAAAGCGTGTACAGCGCAAGATTTAAAAAAACCGAAAAGCAAAAAGTTTAAGTCAATCCAACAGACTCTACATATTCACCGACTCAAAGGAGATAGATCTGACAAGACTATGGAGTTCCAGAAGAAGAGGATCCCTTCATTACTAAAACACTATAGCTCGGCCAAGGACCTTATTTATTGGTTTTGTTGCTTTACTTTTCGATTCTGGGTCTCCAGATGCATCATTTAATTTAAGTCTCTTTAAACAAGAAAATACACCAACTACACAAAATTGATAATAAAAAAATACAAACCCGACTGATCCTCCACCAGAGCCAATCATGCAACGATTCTGGCAGTGAAGAACATTCAGTTCCTTCAGCAATAAGGTCATCTGAGTAGAAGACAAGCCCAGAGGAGTTGTATTTTTGTGGTCATAGGGCATAAACAAAGCCTACACAATCAAGAAAAAGATTATAAAAGACCTTCACAGCTTAGAACACACATCACAATTGGCGAATAAGAATGGCAGATGGGAAGAGAATAAAAACAAATCAAAAGCAACCTTAAATCATTTTTTTTCTCCAAAGCAAGCAACCTTAAGGTTGATTTTTCTATCAGAAAATCTTCTACATAAAAACAATTTAGGCCAGATAAAGTCATTTTTTCAGGCAGAGATGAGCATGCACATAATTGTACTGAAAATCAAATTGCATACTCACTTAACTGGAAATAGACTGTAAATTCATGACCAGATTCACCATGCCCACGTACAAGAAATTATAAACAACTTCTACCTCTATTCTGATAGATCTTTAGAACATGAATTTTTTTTTGACAAAGCTTCACTAATAAAGGAAAACAGATGACTACAATTTTGAGGTCTAAGAATGAACAAATCACCCACGTTGACCAAGGACAAAATTGTCCAAAAGTCACGTCAAGCACATTCACTAAGTATGTTGTTCCAAAACATCTAATAAAATCCAAAACTTAGTATAGTAGAACAGTCCCATACGATGTAGTTCACTCAGCAATTCAACAAGCCAGAAACTCTAGATTCTAATCTGCTTGAACACAAGCAGTGACATGAGATAAGCTTGGCCGCCCAGCTAATTTTACTAGTAACAAGACACAACCTCAATAGAAATAAAGGACTGAATTTCCATGTAAAAGAATGTTGTCACCCTAAGTTTCTTTTCCTTTTGGGCCATTGGTTACCCTAAGCTAGAAGTAAGAATAACACAGATTCCCCACCATGGACCTAATGATTGAACAATAAAATTAATTGTAAAATTTTCAGCCAAAGGAAAATTATCTTCAAATGAGGTGTTGAGGAAAAGGCTTCTGTACTTTCCCTTCACAGTAGGGTTAAAAACAAAATCCGTTAATGAGAAACATTGGTGGAAGCAAAATTTGCAAATTAATCGTCCATCAATACCTTAAATGCCAATATTACTGGTAAAAATACATCAGACCTGCCAAACTAAGACTTTCTTACATGGAAAAAAAAAATTCTAAAGGAGGCTATAACTAAGTGCATAACTTACCAATAATCAACCAATGCAGTTCTTGCACAGGTATGTATCACTACTCTAAATACATTGCCACAAGTTAATAATGCAGTTACCAGTGCTAACAACTATGTGTACCCAAAACAATAAAGGCAAATGCATAAACAATTTAGACAAGCCAAAGTGAGAAAATAAAAGCATTAGCAGGAAATGGATCAGACATACTTCCATTCCCGAATGTACATTCACCCATATGTGAGGATTGAATGAAGTTGCAAGTTTCTGCATAATTTGAGATTCTGGCTCACTAAAAGGACCAATTCCTGGATTTTCTTCATATGGATCATAATCCTAGAAAAAAAGAAACTTTGAGAATCAGAACAACATTTCACAAGAGAATAAAAGTTCAACTCCCTGAAATCTACAAGACTTTAATGAGAAACAAGAAACAAACAGAGTTGCGCCATCATCGTCTTCAACAATATAATTTTACAATGCAATCATGCGCAATGTAGTCCAAATAAAGTGCTAGAATGCCCTGCAGTGAAAATTTACTAAATGTAGCCTCAATAATAAGAAACAGCTAGGAAAAACAACACAAAAGGAAAGATATGAAGTTAAGCCATTCTATTGCATTATATACACTACATAACCACATGCAATGGTATAACAAGACTAACCTTCTCCTTTTTGCCCCAATCAACACTCCAATTTCTGTTTAAGTCAACTCCTCTCCCTGTAATAAAATTGAAACCGATGTAAACTCCTTTCTTACAAAAATATATGAGTCTGAAGACAACAGAATTACACAATACCATTTCTTCTTTCGCAAAGATCTCCTGCTTCAACAAGTCTACGGCCATTTACGTTCTCCATTGGGACTACCTAGTATGAATTAAAAATTCAAGAATATCAATTGCTCTGTGATCTTGCAAAACAAGAAATATGTTCTGGGAACATATTTATACATCGTAGTTGTTAGTGGCATGCATAAAAACAAGACATTTCATGCTACGGATCGATTAGACACAAAAGAAAATAGCTCCAAAAGATATTCTTGTGCGGCTAAATAGAAGATTCTAGGCCACAGAGGGGAAAAGTCATTCAGTATAATATGTATCATACTACTGAATTAAATAAAGAAACAGAAATGAACAGCTGATTCAATCAAATTGAACAATTAAAGATCCATCCGTTTAATGCCCTGTCAGCCACAAGTAAATGAATCAAGAAGTCCCGCAAGTAAAGAAAACTACTGATTTCGCATGCACCTAAAACTGTTCCAGGAGCAGAGACAGCAGCTCCCTGCCTTATAGTAGAAGACCTTGTGACAGAAGTGATGAGAAGTTTACCTTTATGATGAGTTTGTCGAGGAAACTGTTTAAAGAAACTGAATCTACACTTGGTAAGAATTGTTCTTCAGTCAGGATTGACAATATCCTCAAAGCCACTTCAGATGTAATTAGCTCCCTTCCATGCTGTCCAAAACTCTGGAAGACAAGTAATCATCTGTCAAAAACACCAGCAGTTACCAAGCTGAGATCATCTATACTCTACAAGTCAAGCTGAAAACTAGAATTAAGAAGGCCGTGTTTAGATCTTTTCATGCCTGCCTGTAGATATATGGCAGAGCCTCAATTATCGGGATGGTTATTTCTACATGTCCGCCAGAAGAATTGCAATTGAAGTCCGAAAAAAATATTTTAAGCAGAATTTAAGGAATGTAGAAACTCCAGAAACTTACAAGAAGAATCCGAAACTTCGACTTCTCATTGCTTTCTCTACAATTGCGGCAATAGGTAACAACGGCTAGCTCTGCTCGATAACCTCTATTCCCACTTCTAAGATTATTCATCTGTGAACGAGATTAAATTAACACGAATCAATACTCAGCTCTAAGATAATTAATAAGAATGAAAGAGAGAAGGAGCGAGCTGATGCCTCACAGAAAGTTTATCCGGATGACGGCGGACCAAAGCCTTTATCTCTTCCATCAAACGAGCACTGACAAGCAAAACACAATGCATAAACTCTCTAAAGTAGTCAACGAACGGTACGGGTAAAGAAAAAGTTGCACTATTATCACAGCTCTGCCAGTATGATCAATCAGAAATTCACATTCGACGAGTAGCACTAACAGCAAACTGAAATTAAGTTTAAATGCAGCACCCAAAAAAGAGGAAAGTCCTGCATTAATTCGCGTCTAGATGCGGACAACTCGTTGACCTAGCGCACACAAACAGCATTAATCGATTACGCCATCTCAATGATTGCAATCGACACAAATCTATCGCGAGTACTCATAACAGAAATATGACGGACGGATAGCACCACTTGAAACCGTAAAGGTAACATTTGACTCGGTAATCATCCAAAAACTAGCACGGAACATTTCCACGGAAACCGAACTACCGTAATCAGCTGATCGGCCCAAAAAACGGAGGTATCGCTCGCGTCCGCAACCCCAGCGCTCGTAAACTCGTAAGTTACACTCACGATTAGCTCATCGGCCAATCCAAGAGATTAGCTGAGCGATCTCGGAATCAACGAGAAAAAGGCAAAAAAAACCGAACCGCCATTACCTGGAATGGTAGAGATCGAGGTCGATGGGAGTCAAACGAGGCGCGCCGCGGTTCGCCTCGACACGGGCGGCGGAACCGAAGCCGAGCAAGCAAGCGTGGAGGAGGAGGAGGAGGAGGACGGAGGGCGAGAGAGGAGGGAGGAGGCGGCGAGCCATGGTGCCGCGAGCGACGGGAGGCCGGATCGCGCGCTCGGCGGACTCACGTCATTCCACCACGCCGTCGCCGCCGACGCCACCTCCAACGCCGTCGCCGTCGCCGCCGCCGTGTCGTGGCGAGCCCGATCGATGGGCCGTGGTGTGAAACCGGAGAAGAAAGGGAGGGACGAATGTCTTTGGTCGGAGATGATGGAGAGAGAGAGAGAGAGAGAGAGAGAGGGAGGGAGTGGGGGAGGCGCCGTGCGATTTGATTATTCCGGATTCGGCGGTGACAATGATATTACCGACATTTTGTCATTTATTTTTCTTCTTTTCTTATTTTGAGTTTTTCTTATTATTTATTTATTTTTTCGCCTTTTGTCTCTGACCGAGCTTTGACTAAGCAAAGCATCGTCGCCTTCTGATCTTTATTTTATTTTTAAGTCTTTTTTTTCCACTTTTTTTTTCCGGTGGACAGCCAATTATTAGAGTAATTATACAAACGGTCCATGAACTCTGAACTAACTTACAATGTGATCCATGAATTTTCAATCTGTTTAATGTGATCTCTAAATTTTATCTTAAGGTGCAATGTAAATGATCTGATCCATAAACTATATGAAAATATCCAGTGTTGTCCTTTCATTAATCAAAGTTCAATGGCATATTGAATGTTTACATATAGCGTGGAAACAAAAGATCATGATTCACATTGAGCAAATTAAAAGTTCATGAACCACATTACATATTGAGCTAAAATTCAGAGACCGGAATGCACATCTGCTTAAAGTTCGATAATCATTTATGTCATTTTCTCCTAATTATTTGGTGACGATAATGAGATGCGACAAACGAAAAGAATAGGATAATAACTGGGGCACGTGTGGAGAACTGGGGGTGCAGTTAATTTGTAGGACAAGGTGAAGGGAGTGGGCAAACTTAACGTGTCTCTGACTCTTTGAGATCAATTTCGATGAGGATAATATTAACAAGTGTCACAAGGCGATTTTCAAATATATTTATAATTTATCTATAGAATAAAAACATCTTCATCATTTTGAAAAACATTGTTTTTGCTCATTTTATGCATAATCAATGCATTGAAACTAATATTTGTCTTCATTAAGTATGATTAACAAGCTCTAAGGACACTCATTAACAAAACCCGTGTATTTAATGATAAATAGTTTAAATTATAAGATCGTTAAGTATTATGCGTCGAAAATTGCAATGTTTCTTTGACAAAGGGGAGAGATTTCAGAGCAGTTGGATCAATCAAGCACTTCTATTTATAAATCTCATTTCCTAAGGCACGACCAATGCCCCACTCTGTAGAATCCCTTTTATGCTATAGAAACCCCCTCATTTCTCATGTCTAATGACTTAAAATGGACTCCTCAACACAATTCACTTAAAAATGCAAGCTTTATATGCTTCAATATCGTCAAGGGACTAGCATAATAGCACACTTCACTATCAAAATATGCCAATTTGCTAAGAGGAAGAAGAGAACATTCTGCGTCTTACTTTGCATTGATATTCAATCTCGGGCACAAGCTCAATATTATTCCCAAAAAAAGAGACATAAGCTCCAGTTTGAGCTCAGCAAGATACAGGCTTGTTCACCAGAGTTACTGAACTTGTGAAGAGAATCCATCTGGAGGGAGGATAAGCTCAACACCAAATCTAGTAAATGGCATCGAATTGTATAGCAAACAACATACCAACTCTGTTCTCTAGCCCAACTACGGCTTCATTAATTAAGAGTTCGTCCCGACAAAGAACCATACAGTTACATCTTCATATGAAGAGTCCTGGAGTTATTTTACACGCATGCTCGTAAAGACGCCAATACATCAATCGAACATGTGCAATTGATTGGTTTCAGCCTTTCTTCGGCATGGCGGCGAGTCTGGTGTACATTCTTGCCATGGATTGGTATCCTCTCACATCACCCGATCGGAGTAGGTTTCCTGCAAACAAAGCCAAGTAAGTAAATCATGCCATACGTAACCCTAGCCCCATACATTTGATATCCTCTGTGTGTTGAGCCTTCGTATCATTGCCCCTTGGGAACATAACTAGAAAATTATTTGAGCAACAGCCAAGATTGTATTTGACATGACCAAAGCCATAAAAACATGCGATACGTAACCCAATCACTACGTTTTACTAGTTTCTTGTGTTGTGCTATAACCTGAGAAGGGCTTATCTCTGGAGCCATAAGTATATACTAGGATTTCATTGCAGTTGCACTTTGTTCTATTCTTCAGCATTTGGACAGTATATCAAGGACACCACCTCAAAAGCTCTAGTCACCCACACATACACACATGACACACTAAATAACAGGCTCACCAATTTTTTTTTTCATCAGAAGAATCTCAGTACTCACTGATTCACATCAAAGCATCGATTAAACTGATCTGAAACCACCACTCACAAAGCAAGCACAACAATGGACAGCTATCTCGCAAGAAGCACATCAACATACAAGCTCACAGAATGTCGCACACACGAACAGATGCTCTCAAGGAGCCTAATTCCCATCAAAGATGATTCCAAGAGCTCAGTGGGAAACATGAGCAAGAGAGTTGCCTAGGGAGAAATAAAAGGAAAAGAGAGGCTGGCCTCACCACACAGGGTTGAGCAGAGTAAAGAGTTGTATTAAGGACAGTAGTAGAAGAACATGACCAGCTGACAACAATGGATTCATGCAGAGCAGGCAGTCCCGCCCAGGGGCCCCACATTCATCTGAGGGATTTTACTACACGAAAATATAATCTCTTTTCTAATACACTTCGACCATTACAAGCAGGACCAGGACATAAGGAAAAAATAATCAACTGTTACATTGAACAAGTACAAGCATTTGTTCTTTATTACCATTCTCTATGACTTCATAGTTGAAATTATCTCTTTTTTGCCATACAATATATTGGCCAACCAGGAAGCAATCAACAAACCCTGAGAGTGTTTGATTGTATGAAGGATTAAGACGAATAGCTCTTAAAGTTCCTAATAGATAGAGCTTGAGTTGAAATCAAAGCATTATATCATACCTAATTCATCTAATCTCCAAAATCTCAGGCGTAAAGTACAGACCAACAGAATGTGTCTATGTCAATACTCAATTGAGGCAAAGACATCCACCTGTAATCATTTGTCCCAGCACTACTGTCCTATATATCTGATCCAACTAACTCACCACTGGAAATAAAGAATGAGATGAAGTATTGCGTTAGGATTAGGAAACAGATTGTGGAAAAGGAGCATGAAAGATTCCTACTGAAATCAAATGCTCTCTCTCTCTCTCAATAATTGTCAAACGAATACAAAGGCCTCACTCTTGTTATTTCCGGAAACGTTCGATCAAAAACAGTTTTGCACCTCCTTCTAAAAGCAACCTATCAAGAATCCCTGCAAGATGTGGAGGGTTCTCCTTTTCGGCACTGATATAACTAGTCTATGTCAATATCATGGAGCAAGGAGGATGATTGTTCTCATATGAACTACACTACAAAGTTTTCTTCTTTTCCTGTTATCATGTGGTGGAGAGGGAATTTCAATTTTCTCTTTTTGGCCGAGGGGAGGAAATATTACTCAAATAAAATGCAATGGCACGACTTCTTGTTCTTGTTGTTATGGTATTATACACAAGGTGGGAAGGGGGAGTGATCTCCGAATCCAGATTTTAATACGAGAAAGGTGACTACCAACTTTTGGCTCTTGGTCCTTACTGTGCATAGTTTTCTTGTAAGTTAATCAACATTCAACTAGATACTATTTAGGAAGGAACACCGCCACATTTTATCATGAAAAAGTGAACATGTAAGCATACAAGTATGCAGTCTTCACAAGAGGTGCAAGCAACGAATATTAAACACCACACCAGGTCACTTAGATAATAGGCATTACAAAGACTTTAGGTAAGGAAATTTCTGGTTGAGGTTAATGCACAAATGAAAGAATAATGAATACTTAGTTACAGATGTTATATCTTTTTTAAAGAAACTCATTGATACCTGAATCACAATTTAATGGGCTGTCAGGCTCAGGGTGGGCCATGAGAGCTATTATAGCCCTGCAAACAGACTGAAGTGTCCAGGCAGGACTCCATGCATTCTTCAGAATATCAAGGCATATCTCCCCAGTCTGTAAAAAGTAAATTAAAATGTCCATCTATAAGTCAAACAAACAGTTACAGCATCTCATACTTATGCATCAGGTACCTTTGTTGACTTTCCCAAGCTAGTAGTTATCAGAAAATCTATTAATTTAGAGATTCTCTGGAAACAGAATTTGGAAAAAATTAACTCAAAGCAAGTCAAGATTGGTTACTGATTAAGTGTCAAGGAAGTCTCCAATTCTCAGCTCCTGCAGCTCTATCTATCTTTCAAGTGCCATTTAAATCAGAAACCTAAACTACCGACTCTTTCCAGTTTATGATCTTGAACAAATAGATATTGACTAGAAGAACCATTAATCGCCAAACAACATAGTTAATCAGTCCGCCCATCAACCTATTAGCATGCACTGCAAGTATTTCCAGCAAAGTTATCATCAGTAAGCATCCCTATACAATAAATTATACCTTGAAGTGCACGTTGGGGTGAAATATCTTAGTCAGGAAACGAACTTGAGGCGGCTGCAGTGGATACTGCTCAGGTATAGCAAAGGCGAGCTGGAAAACACCACCCTCAAAAGGAGTCTCCGACGGTCCCTAATGAAAGAGAATCGCCATTTCTGCTATATGAGCAACAGCAACATTCCCTTGACAATTACCCCTATCAACCATTCAATCTCACCTTGATAAGAGCAGTCCACTTAAATATGTTCGAGTCATCGCAAACCAACTGAATGTCCGGATCAGCTCCCTTCTCCCGCTGCACCTCTTTGTATTCCTTGAACAGCCTCGCCCTCGATGTCTACAAATGCAAGCACACATAGACATTAGCATTCACACCCAACCTGGGGTTATAAAGAAAAAGCAGAAACCAATTCCTCCGCATATATAATTGCAGGAAATCAAATCTGCTGCTTCATGAGATACACGACATCACAAAATGATTTACTCGGTACATACGTGTGATAACCTAGTGTAAATTCCACCATAAAGAAGAAAACTTTTCAAAATGGTTACATCCTGGGTGCATAATTTTGAAAACAATAGACTTCACTCCCCATGGTACGGAAACAGCGGAACAAAGAGCCAGTAGTCACAAGTAATCAGTAATACCTGCATTTCGATATATCCCCGCGAATCAAGCCTGCTACAGAAAATCCGACTTCCACCAAATTCAACTGCAAAAATTGAAACACGAGTGAACCAATACATCAAAAAATTCAAAGAAAAAAGAAAATCACGCCTCATGCCGTCTAACATTTGGGTATATATTTCGCGCATCCTCACCACTCCCAAATCACTCCCCCTCGTATCCGGGCTAATTTCTCAAGAATCAAGCACGAAAATGAACCGCGAGCACAGGCTCGCCTACCACCACAACGAAAGTGATTAAATCCAATCTTTTGAGCATACCCAGCAAACAAAATTGATGCTTTTCATCAAATATCAATCGAACGATTTCTGGGTAATGAAGAACCGAACAGAGAACGAGCAATTCGCCGTCGATGAAGAGATCGGGAAGCTCGTGATCGAAGAGAATACCTTGTCTTCGACAAATTGCGACTGAATCGAAGGAGCTTGTAGCTTCGGACGAGGACGAGGACGATGGTCGCAACGCGATTCCACAAGACAATTCACGCAAACTCGAATGATGACTGAGAATCAGAAATTGACTCCCATCTGAAGATTTTGGTTCCGTCTTTTTCTTCTCCTTCTTTTTTTTTTTTTGTTCGAAGTGTTTTTTCTTGAGTTTTTCCTTTCTATCACGTTGTTTTTCTCTATTCGCACTTAACGTTGGTTAATAAAGACAGTTTTCTGTACGTTTGTTTCACAAAAAAATTAATAATTTAGAAATACTTTTCAAAATATGATTATTTGAATCGCTTGAAATAATTAGTCAATGAAAAAAAATTTCAGTATCGACAACAATTTATATCTAAACATCTTCGTAAATGATGAAAATATTTTTTATTCGTTCATTTTTATAAATTATACAAGTAATTATTTTTAAAAAAATACTTTTCAAATTATTCATATTTCGCGAACCCTAAAAGGAAAAAATAATAATTTTTTGGACATCAATATACAATTTAGATTAATACGGATAAAATCGATTATTTCAAAATCAAAATCGGCACAATTTCAAAAACAATCAGCGTAACTGTTTATTTTGAAAGTATATATCCTTTTGCTATTCATAGTCATTGATTCTTCCAATGGGATAGTCCATCCCCTAACCTCGGAATTGCTTTGTCTTGATGCCTCATATGTGGCTTTGTTGTTTAAGCTTTTTTAATTCGATAAAGTTGTTTTCGACCAAAAAAAAAAAATAGTCGTTGATTATTCTTACATTTTCTTGCTCAGCCGCAAAATCATTACATTCATGATGATCCCTTTCATATCGCGTGATAAGACTAAGAGGCGAGTCTTCGAGAATTTGTCCTTTACTAATGGTATTTGCTTACGTCTAATGAATAGTCCTGCTATTATTCTTATTAAAGATGGCGTAATTTTGCAATTTTTGTAATAAATAAATGAGCTACTTTTGTAAGTTTTGACCGATTGTTATTTTTTTTAAATGTATAAATTACTAGTAAAAGGTATTACAAAACAATAAAACAATTACAGATATAAATACAACATTTTTACAAATTCTTATAATTTAAATGGTCTTATTCTAACACGTAAATTCCTTCCGTTATGATACAATTTATGTAAACTCGTGATAATGTCATTTTAAGATTTAAAACCAAATTCTTTTCGTATTTTTTTTTTAGAAAATGACGATATATACCCGTGCTTATCCCATATCGAATATTTCTCATTCTGCATATAACCGATCTTCGTGTAAATCTCAAGTAAGAAGTAGAGAGACTGCAGGTGTTTAGCCTTGTTAGACATGAAGTTTCAACAACAAAAATAAGCCACGAGAGAAGTGTATTGAAACATTACTCCCTTCCTCTTCTTTCTTCTTCTCTTAAGACCAAACTCTCATCAATATATTACTAAGCATCTGACTGGTGAAGCTGTGAAACTGTCTATGTTGCAGCAGACGTTGTGATTGTGCTGCGAGGTACCGCACCTTGTATGTTTGGTAATACAAGTTTTAAAGCTGCAGCACCTCAAAGCTGGGTGAGGTAGGTAGCGCATGGTAACCATTCTAGTTCTGTCCAGAACTAGTTTTCTGTTCCCAGAAATAGTTTTGGACCAGAAACCAGTTTGGTAATGCAATTTCATTTTTCTATTTCTAGAATAAGTTTTTGTTCCAGAACCGATTATGGACCAGAAATCAAAACCAAAAACAAGTAGGTTTTTCATTTCTTAAACAAAAGTCAGAATCATTTCTGAGGAACTCGTTCTCTTCAAAAAATGCATCTGTCTCGTCTCCTCTCATCTCTCTGATCTGGAAGCCCGTCTCTCTCTCTACTCTCTCTCTGTCGCCGTCGAGAGGAAGCCAGGGCCGAGAGGAAGCCAGGGCTGCTCGCTCGCTCGCTCTGGCCGAGAGGAAGCCAGGGCCGCTCGCTCGCTCACTCCTGCTCCACGTAAGCTCCGATCCTACGCTGGATCTCCTCTCATCTCTCTCTTTTCTGGATTTGGAAGTCGCCGTGATAGGGGGGGTCAGCTTTGGCCTCGCCATAGCCGCCGGTCGACCTCGCCGTCGCCCAAATCTGGGCGACGGCAAGGTCGACCGCCAGACCTGGGCGAGGCCGCCGGTCGACCTCGCCGTCGCCTAGATCTGGGCGACGGCGAGGTTGACCGCCAGACTTGGGCAAGGCCGCTCGGCCTCCCCCAAATCTGGAGGAGGCCGAGCGGCCTCGCCATGGCCGCCGGTCGACCGCCAGACCTGGGCGAGGCCGCCGCCGTCTTGCTCACTCGCTCCGGCCGAGAGGAAGCCAGGGCCGCCATGATCGGGGAGGTTGGCTTCGGTTCTCTTCCGTCTCTGCAAAAATGTGCAGGAAAGTTCAAGTTCGTACATATAGTTAGTGGGAAATGTTAGAATTAGTCTTTTGTTCATAATTTTGTATATAGGTGGCTTCTACCTGAAGCCATTTTACATAGGAGCTTTACCTTGGTACTTTCTTGATGAAATCTTTTTATCATTCAAAAAATGAAAGTGTTGACAAATATGAATTGGCCGGTTGTTTGTGGGTTCTTTATACCGAGTCTGATGGGTGAATACAGAATACTAGATTACTTAAAGTATGGTTTCAACCTGAGCTATGTTCTCGCGCCTACACTTTTTAAGATTTATGTTAAAAGTTGGTTTTTGATCATCGTACTGGAAGCTTTGTGCTAGTTGACCAAATATTTCGATTAAAGACGTGAGAATATGATCAGATGGTGCAACTTGAGCTGAGTGGTGTCACAGTCAGATTTATTGAGTAGTTACTATGCATTCTCATGGGCTTGGATTGAATTAAATTGTCTTATGGTTTTTGTTAAACTCTGTGTGTTGTAGGTTAGGTGGCAAATACCTGGTCATGCTTTGCAGTCAAGTTGAGAACCGTACTGTAGCTTGACGGGTGGTAGTTTCTTGTTTAATGTAAGGTATGGGAATTGACCTGGACGCATCTCTTTTTTTTAAACCTTAATTTTCTTCTGCAGAAGTGGATGGAAAGTGATTTTTCGCCCTTAATCTATCTGCTAGGTGTTTTGTTACTCGTCGGATTTACCTGTGGTTTGGTTTCTAAAAGAAGCTTGTGAGAGAGAGATATGGTGACAGGCTTTTTTCAGAGAGCTAATAAGAAAATGAAAAAAGAAGAATCAATGTGCAGCAGCAGCTGTTATGAGACATGAAGTTGATAGTATCGTGTGGTTACGTTCTGTGTCCGCGACATTTGCATCTTTCTGATGCCCTGTTTTCCGGTTTGGTTAATGCATGGTTTTTACTTCCGGTTTGTATTTACTAGTACAAATTACAATCTTGTTGGCAAAGTGGGAAATCAGATTCAAATAGAATGATAAGTATAACTTCTTTGGTTTCTTAAATCAAGAGAAGCATAATCATGTTTGTACCCTGCTTTCGGATCGCATGTTTTTCATCTTAGAACTGCTTCATATGAGTCTTCCTTAGCCCTATCCTGAAGTTTCAATTCACTTCTTTCAAAATTTTGCTAATTGTTAGTTCCAATTGAGAAAATGAGACTTTTTTTGCCAGTGAAGGCTTAGGGAAGAAATGAAAAATGGTATATGGGAAATTACACTAGAACTGATATTTCTCATTGTTGTGACTTGTCCTTTTAGCTTTTCCAACAAATGCTCCCATGAAACTCTAACTAAATATTTTTTTCAGGTACAAGCTGCTGCACTTGTAAGTAAAGGAGAACTCGGGAGGGCCACCTGGACTTTTCTCCACACTCTAGCTGCTCAGGTCTTCTTAGTAAATAAAGCCTGGCTTTTTGCTTTCCTTTTCATTTTCCATTTACGAAGTTTTACCTGAATATATCAGTATACTCCTACATCATTTGCACTTCTGCTGAGTTCTTATGAATTTCTCAAACAATAAAGTTAGCACTAATTATCTATCAGAACACTCAACATTAAAGCACATGTACATCGAACGGTTCAAATTGTAGATGATATGGCTCTTTACATCAAATCTTCTGCATTTGAATTGGTACACCATATGATATGGCTCATTTGATGTTCAACCAGTTAAGGGTAAATGGCATCTCAAAAAGAGGCATTTGTGGCAAAGTGGACTGAGCCTTTAACCAATTTGCTTGTAAGCTTAATGATAGAAGAGGTACAAAGAGGAAATCGCACCACTACTACCTACAACAAAGTAGGGTGGAATAACATAGTTACCGAGTTCAATAAACAAACAACACTCCAGTTTACTGTAGTTCAGTTGAAGAATAGGACAAACAAATTGAGGAGACAGTATGGGAGTTATAAGAAGCTTCTTTCACAATCTGGATTTGGATGGGATAATGTTAACAAAACGGTTATTGTGGAGAATCCAAGTGTATGGGATGATCACATCAAGGTATCAGCTTACTTGGGTCATTTTGTTCTTATTGTGGATGTATGTTTCGATTATGTTGCTGACGTCTGTCACTATTTTTGAAATTGCAGGATAACATTGAATGGGCTAAATTCCGAAAGGATGGGTTTCCTCAATATCCCGATCTATGTATCGTGTTTGGCGATACATATGCTACTGGGGATTACGCAGTAGGAAATGCAGAATACTTGGTGGTGTCGGAGGGGGAAGACAATGGTAGTGGTGGTGACAATGGTGGTGGTGCTTTGGTAGGTGATCCAAACGAACTTAGTGATGGAGTCTTCACACCTGACGTGAGTGCCACGCAAGTTCGCGAGAATCACAAGTTGGATAGGACTCCAAATTCCAAGAGGAGGAGAAAGAGTAGAACATATGATATTGCTGGCACCTGCAAAGCCATTCAAGATATAATCAAGTCCAAGGCGGGTCAATCAATAAGTGGTTCTGTCACCTCACATGCCCCCCCACCCAAGAACCCCTACTCCATGGGAGCCGTGGTTGCCATCTTAAATGACATGCCTGACTTAGAGTAGAATCTTTACAACAATGCTATGAACCAAACATGCCTTAGTGCCAACTGGAGAGAGGGTTTCGTCATATCTTTACCTGAAAGGAGACGCGGTCTTCTTGAATCTCTTTGAATAGATGTTGAGAACTACGATGACTTTTTCATGTTTGCTTTATTTTCACTTAATGACTTGTGTCCTCGAGATACTTTGGTTTGTTTCTATTTATGGAACTATGATGACTTTGGTTTGTTTTTAATTATGCAACTATGATGACGTGGCTATTGTTAATTATGGAACTATGATGACGTTGTGGCTATTGTTGATTCCTGACTTATTTGTTGTGTTTGTGTTCTTCGTGCGAGGGCATAGGTAATATGGAGGGGGGTGAAAGTAGCAGTAATAATGGTCCAATAGCATCAGTTGAACCAATTGAATAGGTCTTCGATGATTTTGAACTTAATATACTGAAAGCATGGATGTGTACTGTTTCGTTGAACATGTCTATGCACACGAGAGAACCTATTAGGGACAGTAAATTGTCAGGGCCTAAATGGATAAGAGAGATTCTTTATGGACATTCAAATAGGGTGAGGCATGTCTTTCTCAACCTTTGTGATTTAATGAAGGCAAGGGATTGGTTGGTAGATAGTCGATATATTAGGGTAGACGAACAAGTTGGGATATTTTTATCTATGATTTCTCACAAGAACTCGAATAGAGATTTATATGAGAGATTCCAACATTCGGGACAAACTATCAGCAAGTACTTTGCTAAAGTGTTGCAAGCAGTTCTGAATCTGGCAAGAGAAATTATCGTACCACCTTTATTTGATGTTGTCCCAGAAGAAATTCTTATCAATCCTAAATATAATCCTTACTTCAAGGTAGGATTTTCATACATTTCTTTACACCGTCATTTACATTTTGTTGATAATCTTGTATAATGCTAGTCTTTGCTGAAATGACAGGGCTGCATAGGCGCTATTGATGGCACTTACATTCATGCTTCTGGACCAGTGTCGAAACAGATCCCATTTAGAGGCAGGAAAGGAATTACCACTCAGAATGTGATGTGTGTTTGTTCATTTGATATGAAATTTACATTTGTGTATGCTCGTTGGGAAGGCTCTGCCAACGATTGTCGGGTGCTCTCGGCAGCACTCGAGACACATCGCTTACAATTTCCTCGACCTCTACCAGGCATTTGCTTGTTTTTCATGGGATAATTTTCTTTATAACTGTATTGCATTTGCGAATCATGATCAATATATGAATACCTTGTGATAGGCAAATACTACGCGGTAGATTCTGGTTATGCTGCAGCTCCGGGATTTTTGACTCCTTTCAAAGGGGAACGGTATCATATTAATGATTTTAGGGGTAGAGTGAGGCGGGCAACAACAGCAAGAGAATTATTCAACCATAAGCATTCTTCACTAAGGAATATTATTGAGAGATCATTTGCGGTGTTAAAGAATCGCTTTTTCATTTTGAGACACATGCCTTCATTTTCAATTCAAAAACAGTCATGTATTGTAATTGCATGTTGTGCTATTCATAATTACATCCGTGATCAAGACAAGATGAATAAGAACTTTTCCCAATGTGGTGATTCGGAGTACCCGTTTGGAAGTGCACAAGATGAGGTTATCGACGATACATCGACTAAGGAGGATATCGAGATCAACATGCTTAAGAAAAGAATTGCCAATCAATTGGCAATTGATAATAATATGGCGGAGATTCCATGAAAATGTGTTTCCGACTTTTCTAATGTATTTCCATTATTTTGTATTTGAGGATTTTTTATGTTTGCTCTTGTAATGTGACGTGGTATTTTGGGATCTCCTATATTGGCTCTTGTAATGTGATGTGCTTGGTTTACTTTTCTCCATAAGCATTTGGAATATTATGAGGAACGATGCATACTCACAAATATTGAGAGCAAATATCAAGAGCGATGGTGGTTGAATGCTGAAGACCCGTTCCAGAGCTTGGCCATTTGCATTAATTTGACTGGAATTTGTGTGCTGGCGTACGTAACGTTACGAATTCAATGTCAAATTTAATTTCAAAACTTCACAGAATGGCTTAGAATACCTGTGGCCACCTGCTTTGAGCGAAATTTAAATTTTTTTAGGTGTCGAAAAAAAAATAAAAAAATAAAAAATAAAAAATTTCATAGAATGGCTTAGAATACTTGTGGCCACCCATTTCGAGAGAAATTTAATTTTTTTGAGATTCCCAAAAAAATAAATAAATCAAAAATTTCAAAACTTCATAGAATGGCTTAGAATACATGTGGCCACCCACTTTGAGCGAAATTTACATTTTTTTAGGTGCCGAAAAAAAATTTAAAAAAATACAAAATTTTAAAATTTCGCAGAATGGCTTAGAATACCTGTGGCCACCCACTTTGAGTGAAATTTAATTTTTTTTAGGTGACGAAATGAAAATTAAAAAAGCAAAAAATCAAAAATACCATTTGGGCACCTAAAAAAATTTAAATTTCACTCAAAGTGAGTGGCCAGAAGTATTCTAAGCCATTATGTGAAGTTTTTAAATTTTTGATTTTTTATATATTTTTTGCACCTAAAAAAATTTAAATTTCGCTCAAAGTGGGTGGCCACAAGTATTCTAAGCCATTCTGTGAAATTTTGAAATTTTTCATTTTTTTATTTTTTGATTTTTTTTCGGCACCTAAAAAAATTAAAATTTCGCGCAAAGCGGGTGGCCACAGGTATTCTATAAGACATTCTGTGAAGTTTTGAAATTTTTCACTTTTTGATTTTTTTTTTCGGCACCTAAAAAAATTTAAATTTCGCTCAAAGTGGGTGGCCACAGGTATTCTAAGCCATTATGTGAAGTTTTTAAGTTTTTTTATTTTTTTTGCACCTAAAAAAATTTAAATTTCACTCAAAGTGGGTGGCCACAGGTATTCTAAGCCATTCTATGAAGTTTTGAAATTTCTGATTTTTTTATTTTTTTTGGGAATCTCAAAAAAATTAAATTTCTCTCGAAATGGTTGGCCATGGGTATTCTAAGCCATTCTGTGAAGTTTTGAAATTTTTAATTTTTTTTAATTTTTTTTGGACATCTCAAAAAAATTAAAATTTACTCAAAAAGTGGGTGGCCACAGGTATTCTAAGCAATTCTGTGAGGTTTTGAAATTTTTGATTTCTTGATTTTTTTTGAAAAAATTCAACAAACTTCCTATTTTTCGGAAATCTGAAT